ACTCACCTTATTTCCAGCGCCGTGTGTGTCTGCCGGCACTGGGCCCACCCCTTTGGGGACATCATCAGAATTGCCAATTTTTAGCCAATCCAATGCTTTCCCATGGGGAAAGCATAGGATTGGCTAAAATTGGCAAGGTGGCTGTTTTGGCCAATCAGAACCTCTTCATAGAGATGCATTGAATCAATGCATCTCTAAGAGGAAAATTCAGCATCTCCATGCAGAGCTGCCTACTGTGCAGAACTGAGCCAGGAAGCACCTCCAGTGGGCATCTGAGGAGTGGCCACTTGGAGTTGTCTCTAGGGGCAATGTAAACACTGCCTTTTCTCTGAAAATGCCTGAAGGCAATGATTATACTCACCAGAACAACTACATTAAGCTGTAGTTCTGGTGACTATAGTGTCCCTTTAAGTTACAAGTAGACTACAAATTTTAGCCCCAAAATTGAAATTATGACATTCTCCAACTCAGCTATTTTGGCCTGAAATCACAAAATGTATTTATTAAATAGTGTTGGAAAATTATAAATTTTGGTCTGTAATTTGCACTTCCTGGTAAATTCCTGATTTTATCGAATAACTCGGCAACACTGTTTTAATTTAAAAATGTTCAATTTTAGACAATGGTAAACATCACTATTTTGTTTATTCACAGACAAAATCGTTATTAAACGGTACTAATTACCATTGTCTTTGCATGAGTTTATAAAACTGTGTGGAAGTACTAGACACCTAACAGGCCATAGGGTGCCAAAATGTACAATCCAGTATACAATGTCTAAACACTGAAATATAAGGTAATATTATAGCAAGCATTCTCCTCTGTGCTGTGCTTGCTGAATATCAAATCATATCATGACAGTGAGTTTTGTTTAATTGTGACAGGTGGAAAAATGGCATCGCATTTCTACCGAGTCCTGTTCTACTATCAACCAGCTCCTGGCAGCAGGTAACTAGAAACTGACTCACTAGTTGAATGTTTGCAGTGTAACTAATCTGGTTTGTAGGGCAAATGATGAAAAACAAAATCTATAATCTGAATGGAAGCAAAGACCAAAATTATCCTTTTCATTTAAAATAACATGTTACACATTCTACCAAAACACTGAAGATAACCTAAAAATAAATTTACATAAACATATTCTATTTAATATGCCCTCTTGCCATCTAATAATTTCTAAGTTACTGATATCAGAGGGTCTAGCAGTACATCATTTTTCTTTGTTTGCCCTCTGCAGCCACAAGACTAACCCCAAGAGATAATGCTAAGGCACAAGTGGCAAAGGTTTGGCCCCTTCATGATGAAGTATAAGGACTTAGATGGAGAGAGCTATAGGAAAACGGGACACGGGACACTGGACAGTAACATTTAACTTTTTCTTTTCTGAATGTGAATTGAATAGACTGTCTACATACTTTAAGCTTACCCCAATTAACCACACAGGAAATACACAAGTTGACAGATGTATGAAACATCTAATTTTAGATTTCTATACAATACATTTTTTAAACACATGAAAAAAAGGAATAGACATTTTGCACAGTAATGTGAAGTGAAAAACCATGCAGCAAGTAATATTTCAAATAAATATATAATGCCATTGCTTATTAAATGGGCGCATAGACAGTTGTGAAATCTTATCTATGTGTTAATAAAAAAATATATATTTAATCAATTAAACCGCATGAATATATATCAAATTGTCCTAACAGGAATAAAAAGAGGCAATTTTGAATTTGCAGGTTAAGCTTCCTATGTAATGTGACCATTCAGCTCCATATAAAAATGGCTTTATATAATGGACATTGTCAAACATAAAATGTTCCCATTCTTTAGTATACTATACCATACATCTTTACTGGCATTTATTCACTAGAAATTATGTTACAATGATAGAATATTTCACACATGGATGATTATATATAGACATTTATTCACAGAATAAAAAATAAACCCCAAGAAGTATTTCTCTGGCAGTTTTCACTCTTTATTGGATTTTGCTGTGATTAAGATGTGGCTGGGTGCTCCTATCCAATTGCTGGCTAAAGAAACAGATTACTTACACTGAACTGCATGGAAGCCAGTTGCAGCTGTACTGTGCATGTGTGAATATCTTTCATTGATTTCAGTGGGGCAACTCTTCAGCATGCAGAGTAATAAGAATGCTTTCTAGAGAAAGTGGGGTAAAAATACACATTTTCCACTACTCTTATACATTCATTAACGAGTAACGTAATTTTGAAATGCTTATTCTAAGATACTCTACATTTTGCATGGGAAAAAAAGGAAATGTAATATCAAAATAAATTAATATTATTATTACTATTTATTAAGCACCAACAAATTCCACAGCACTGTACAATGGGTGGACTAACAGACACTTATTTGTAACCAGACTAGTTGGACACATGGGAACAGAGGGGTTGAGGGCCTTGCTCATTGAGCTTACATGCTAGAAGTTGTGGGGTATAGTGACACAAAAGGTAAGGGTTGGGTAGGGTAGAAAATTAGGTTGCTAGGATAGTATTCACTGAGGGCCTGGAGTTTTGTTTTGATGATAGTTACAGGAGAGGAATCAGGGTGCTGGCACAGAATGCTGTTCACAGTTTAATTGATATGCTTGCCTGAAGAAGTTTTTAAAGATTTTTTTTAAGTAGTGGAGACTGGAAGGGCATTTCAAAGGAATGGTGCAGCCCTAGAGAAGTCTTTAAGGTAAGCATTAGCGGTAGGAGTGCAAACAGAGGTTAGACGTAGGTTTTCTGCAGAGCGTAGGGGCCTAGATGGGACATATTTGTGAGGATAAGTAGGTTGGAGCAGCATTGTGTAGAGATTTGTAAGCAAGTACCAGGATCTTAAATTGGGCCCTATATCTTATGGGAAGCCAATCTAGGGACTGAGGCGCGGGAGGACAGGAAGATGAGCCTCGCCGCCGCATTCATTATAGACTGTAACGGGGCAAGTTGGGAACACGTAAGACCGCAGAGAATCTGATTACAGTAGTCAAGGCAAGAGAGGACAGCAGCATGTACAAATACCTTAGCTGTATCAGGTGTTAATTAGAGGCGGATGTGTGCTATGTTTTTGAGATGGTAGTGGCAGGATTTGGCAATTGATTGGACATGAGGGGTGGAGAGGTTGAAGTAAAAGAGAACACCTCGGCAGCAAACCTGCGAGGTAGAGCTGATGGTAGTGCCAAGGGAGTAGCAACACTTGAGGGAGGGAAGACCAGAAGTTCTGTTTTGGACAGGTTAAGTTTAAGGAAATGAGCAGCCATCCAGTTGGAAATAGCAGAGAGGCGGAGACAAGAGTCAAGAGGGGTGGTGAGAAATCAGGAGAGGACAGATAAATTTGCGTGTTATGCGCATAGAAATTATACTGGAAGCCAAAGGAGCTGATGAGTTTACCAAGGGAGGCAGTATAGATAGAGAACAATAGGGGACCAAGGACAGACCCTTGGGGAACATCAACAGAGAGGGGTTGGGGAGAAGAGGCAAAGCCAGAGAAAGAAACAAGAAACGAGTGCTGGGAGAGGTAGGAAGAGCATCAGAAGAGAGAGCGGTATTACATAGGATGAGAAGAAGTGGTTGATGATCAACAGGGACAAAAGCAGCAGAAAGGTCAAGGATTGTTTGATATGGGCAAGCCCAGCTCCTAGCCATCAACAATGCTTGAACCTCAATTCCCCTATAACAAGTGTGTCTAACCTAAGCACTCCAGGAGCTGAAAGACTAGAGAATTAAGTCCAACAATAGCTGTTAACTGCCAGAGAATTATGTGAATTGGGAGGCAAAAGTTTAAGATATGTGGTCTATACTATTCTAATACAGCCCTTCTCTGATTCCTTGCTGTGTGGAGCTATTTTACCTATAACACACTGAACTGGACTGATGTGGATCTATCAATCCTGGATCTCAGGACTTTCATTTAACTCCAATTACTTCAAAATGTCATATACCTCCATTTCTGTCTGTCTTGTTTTTCTTTTTAAAAAAAAATAAAAAAAAACAAAATCAGAAGAACAGAGGAATACGGCTGCAAATATACTGCGGCTTATTCATGGTAAGATATTTTTCAGAAAGAGTATAAATTATGTGTTTATTTCTTTTATGGTCATCTGCTAAGGGGAGAGTTTTTTGTGTGAATTCAAAATAAATTCCAGGTGTTACGTCAAAATAGCAGAGTTGGGGGGGGGGGAACCCCTCCAAGTCTGCTTTGTTTTACATTATGCTATTTTGGTCTAAATTTGGAACTTCACATTGAATTCACACCTTAGTGCATAACCCAGTTTGTTGTGAAATATGATCCAACTTCATGGAGGCATCATTAACCTAATCTATCAGTTCAATAAATTTTCTTCAAGGCTGTTTTGCTAATTAGATATATACTTAGTATTTAAGAAGAATCTCTAACCAATTCTTTATGTGCAAACACGTTAAGAGTATGTTGTTGATCAAGTAATGTGTTTAAACATTTGACAATTGGGTGCTTTTATTTAAACAACAAAATTGTAAAATAGTTTCATCCATATAAACTATGGAATGTACAGTTAATGCATAACAGGATAAAAACAGCAATTGTGTTTATTGACTGCTTCTTAGGGATAACAAATGTCTGTAAATATACATTATTTTCTATATGTGTATATATTAATTGCAGAAACATTAGGGAAGTATAAAGCAACATATATTGCACTGTATCCCTGGCAGGTGAGGGCCAGAAAAACCCAGAACATAAGGGAAAAATCCACCTATATGATACAAAGTTTGGCTGACTTGTCGTGTAATTTGGATTTCACTTATCACCAACAATGAAAATGAATTATATATATATATATATATATATATATATATATATACACACACACAAAAATGATGGGAGTTGCACTCCAGCTCTCCTTCAGTTTCTGCCCGGTGCTCAGCTGCACAAATGTATAGAGTTCGAAGAAAGCCAGCACTCAAGGACTTTTGTATACAAAAGTCCTTGAGTGCTGGCTTTCTTCGAATGCTATATATATTAGTTTGGAAAATGTAATTGAAACTGCACATCATTCATATAACACAATATCTCCCCTAAACATGTAAACTGATATCTAATTACTGAAGCCCCGAAACAGCATAAAGGCATTTTAAGCCCATTCCTCTCGTCTTTCTCCAAAAGAGTAGCTGGTAGAGTATATTGACAACTTCGTCAAAGTCATAATAATTTAAGGGAAACATTCTGAATATCAAAGTTGTCTGTAAAACTCTGATGGTCAAAAGGCTTAATAAGAGAAGGTTTTAGAAGGTGTTTAAATCTTTTTATTTTTGTTGTGCAGGTAGGTACATCAAACGCCACAACAGCATACATAAAGATATACAGGTGATACAGTGGCATAGGTAGTTGCACATTTTTGTTATACATAAACAAGCTCAACTTAACTGATGAATCTCCATAGTGAAATTCAGTATGTATGTGTAGTTTATAACATGCTAGTCAGGTACCTCTAGATTGCGTGAGCATATGGTAGTTAGCTATCTTTTAAGCAGGTCTAGACAAATGAAATAAAATTATAAACACTCAAGACAGTAAAGGTAAAAGCAAGCTGAGTAGCCCTATAGATAGTAATCTAATGTGGTCTAAAAGAGAATGCATGCATGTAGCAGATACGTTGATTAGTGTGAGTGGCATCTCTATGTGTAGATTAAATGTAGCATCAGGTTAAATGATCACGAGGAGTAACTTTAGGCCACAGTATGGAAATACTAGTCTAAACATTTAGCTGCTTCATCAGACAGGGTTGAACAGTGAGCTAGCTTCTGCAGAAATCAGTGTGGCTCAAGTGTCCAGTGTGGAGCAGCATTACGGTACTTGTCAGCAGTCATCCGATTCCCATGTTGATGCTCTGCACGGTTCTCACTAGGCGACTGATGAAGGTAGCAGAGTGGTGGGAGCAAGGGGAGGCATCCCTCCAGCCCCAGGCGCTTGTTAAAGCCTGCATCTTCGAGCTGTGGTCTCTGAGGCTCTGAAAGTCCCTGACCTTCTCCCATATGAGCGAACAGGAGGCAGTGTTGGTCTTGCGCAGCCAGCGACAGGTTGCCTTCTGTCTGTGTGGTTGATGCATGGGGACTAGGCCCCTTGTGGCTTTCGGCCCAGGTGGGCTTACATCGCTGGTGGCGTGAGTTGCTTGAGAGGCTGTACCCGAAGGAGGCTTACCCTCTCCCTGTGCTCACCTCTCCCATCTCTCTCTTGGGATAGTCTCGAGACATTCGCCATGTGAGTCTAAAGCTCTTCCCAGAACCATGAGAAGGCTTCATCAAGCTGCTGCATTAATCTGTCTACTGGGTTAGGAATAGCCCGTTGTAGCTGTTCTGTAGTGCCTGCCTGCGTGCCCGGTTCGCCTGCCATTTTAGGAGTGCACATACTGCAGCAATGAGCAGGTACTGGCGTAGGCAAGTGCTCAAGGGTGTCTGATGTTGTGGGTGCTGGGATAATCCTCACCGGCAGGGGGGGTTTGTCTAACCGCCGAGGGCCCAACTCCTGGTTGGTCAGAGACCGCGAGATCGGCTGCTCCTCAAGTTCCCTAATGCCAGGTAGGCCACAGTCATGCTGCCGGAGAGTCCACCGCAGGGATACCAGTGCATTGGTTGGCAACGTTGCTCCCACATGTAGTAGGTTATTTCATGTTTAGGAAATGCGGGTGAAGGGTCTACAAAGTAGGTATAAAGCACGATGCTGCACGGAGCTCCAACTGTGTGCGACTGATCAGCTCAGCAGTCCGGCCAGCCCCCTTTAAATCTTTTTTTTTTTTATATATATATAAAAACAATTCCACTGTGATTAAAACACACTGAGCTTACAACTCCAAATGATCATAGACTAACTGATGCAACAAAAAAAGTTTGATAACAGAAATGAGACATTTGAGTAGTGAAACAGTTTTTAAAAAGACATTAAAGCAACATGCTATACTTAAATGCATATTTCTCTTGTAGACCCCTTAGTCTCCCACATGGAAATGGTGACAGAGATTGTGGTGCCAACAGTCTGTACACTCTGCATCCTCATCAGTGCCATCCTCCTGATGATTCTCCTCCGAAGACAAAGCTAGAACAGTGGTGCCGAGTTAATATGCCAACTAAGTGCAACAGCCAATGGCTGCCAGTCATGAAGACTTGAACTACATGGTCGGATCCCTCATCCATGATCCTGCAGAAGGAAAGGAGGATTGAATTAGAGTACAGCACAACCAATGCACTTTATGAAGTGGATGTGTATATACAAATTTCTTAGGGCAGGTCTTTACAAACATTTAAAGAGTGTAAAAACTAGAGACATATTTAGGAGACAATCTAACTTTGATTTTAGTGTCTGAGTCAGGGGAACATCCATTAGGCTATATTTAATATACATTAGAAAAAGCTCAATCCCAAGGCACGAGAAGTATACTTTCAGATGAAACAATCAACCAGCTCCTGGTTTCTGCACTCTTAGGCACTGATGTTCGTTTTCTGAAAATGAGTGTGTATGACAAATTAATTCATTGATCCTCAAAGAAACATGGCGGAGTAGCATTCACCAACTAAGCAACTAAATAAAAGCAGGATATATATTGCTTTCGGTACAAAGACTCTGCTTCACAGGTATTAGGCAGCCCGTTATTATAGCACCAACCAAGTTGTTTTTATTTTTCTTCATAAAGTGAGAATTTAAAATGAATTTTAACTTTAAGGTCAAAGTAGCAGAACTGGAAAATCCTCAAAGTCAGTTATGCTTTCAGTTTGGCTACCGTGACCTTAAATTTGAAATTGTTTAAATTCTCACTTTAGCGAATAACCCTGTTGGTATTGATTTATCTCATGTGTAATAGTCTTCAACCACTTGCCCTTTTTGAACTGCTCAGTTGACTTTTTTCAGTATGGCAAGATGCTAAAATGGTGGTTTATTCTTGGTAGCACGGAGCAGTGTGCATTGTGTTAAAACCTTTACAATGCTGTAAGATGTTTGAAATTAATAGATTAATTTTCTGATCTGCAATGCATAGTTACTGTGCCAATGTTATTTTTCTGTTAACTCTTCTCTGAAGGCGCAATGTGATGTAGAATTGAGAAATTGTTAATTAGAAAAAAATTCCATTGTGTTTTCATTCTCCAACTCTGATTTGATAAAATTGACATTTGGGTTTACACATATCGATTGCAGCAGAATATATTTGATGTGCTGGCCAATTTAACACAGTGCCAAATAGTCTTTAAGGACTGAACAATGAAAAATAAAAGAACGGAGTTTAATTCCTAATAATAGAAAAATACTGCACTAAACAGACATTGAGTTAAGGTGTTGTTTTTTGAGAACCATAACAAAAGGGTCAAAAAGAAAAAAAAAAAAGAAATAACAATTCAGGGACTTTTTTAAATTGAAGCAGTCACCAGGAACCTTCTGGTGCACTTCCAGACTTTTATCTCTGCATTTACATTTTATCAAAAACAAATATATTTACTAAAAGAAATTTTCAAAAATATCACATTTGGTCTTATGTTTAAAGAACACGTGTGGTGAAATTTCCTGGAACGGTCACCACTGAATACTCCTGCATATAGCTTTACTTTGCTGCAAAATTATAATCCTTATAAATAACCTCCAGTGTATAAGTGTTTTATTTAAAGGAACAATAATGCATTAGAAGTAAAAATGTGTATTCCTCACGCTAAAGTGCTCTTTTGGCCATTTAGAATATTAATCAAATTTTTTTCCCCACCAAAACATAATTTTCCAAGAGGTGCACATTTCCAGGATAGCTCATCAGAAAAATACTAATTTGCTGATTATGTCTTTTCTATCACGGGTGCCCTGCATAATGTGTTAGATTCTGAGAGGTTCTCAACAGGAATGAGTGCAGTTGCTATAGATCTCACAGAGGTGTCAGAAAAGCAGATCACTGAAGCCGTACCGGATTATGGAACTTTCAGACGAAGTGCACTTGGCTGCAGCTGACCTGTGTGCGGTAATACTGAATTTCTTCACTCTCTCCACTCAGTGTCATGTCAACTGGCACATCTGGGTTGGTGGGAAAGTAGAAATTGAGGGGAAAGTGACATAATAGCGTAGACACAAAATATTTTGAGTGCAATACACACATTTCTTTTCCTTCTTCATATTTTCACACAGTTGCTTTTATATTTACAAATATTGTAATTAAGTACAAGGAATAATACATTCAGCTTTAGACTAGTGTCCAAACACATCCTGTGGTTTAGATGTTTTATTATAATGCGATTTAAAAGTAATCATTTCACTTTGGAAGTATGGAATGCAGAGTAGATCTTAGGTAGGAGTTGGACCTGTGATTCTGAGATATTGCAGCTGGAGCGTTACACACTGAAGAAATTATCTCTCTCTTTCATAAGCATCTCCAAAAGACACGGTCAAAATCCCAATTGATGTGCACTGAAAACTGAACTGCAAAATGTAATCCAAAGTAATTGATTGAATTCGCATTTTAGCCTACATTTAGTTTGCCAATTTTGGGCTTAGAAATTTAGTTTTCAATAGACCACACTTTCCTGTTTAGTGAATAAACCCTTTTATTGCACACACAAGCGGCTTCTGTCACAAATTAGTAGGTGCGGAAATTTTCAAAATACATAAAATCATTTACATATATGTACGTTTATATATATTCAGTCATAAAACATTTTGGTATATAGTCCGTGCCTCTGCAGTCTCAGCCAGGAAAGCTGTGCTAGGGCTACATATACAAAAAACGATTTGACCTTAAAGGGACACTCGTCACCAGTACCACTACAGCTTAATGTAGTGGTTCTGTGGTCTATACCCTGTCCATGCAGTTTTAGCAATGTAAACACATGTGCTTACATTGCTGCCTAGTAACACCTCTAGAGGTAGTCACTCAGACAGCCACTAGAGGCGCTTCCTAGTCCAGTGCTGCACTGTGTGCAGCACTAGCATTCAGTATCTCCACGCTCAGCATGGAGACGTTGAACACTCCCCATAGAGATGCCTTGACTCAAAGCATGAGTAGAAGCTGATTGGTGCAGCACAACATTTTGCTACGCATGCCTAATAGCCTCCCAATGATTTCCTATGATGATCTCAGTCATGGAGGTGAAGTAAGACTGGGCCAGCCATTGTGAGACTGGCATGGCATGGGATAAAAGGCGAGTAAAATCACCTTTTCAGCCTGATCTATAGTGTCAGAAACACATGTAATTTAGAGTCCTATTTAAATATTAAGAATGCATTAGGTAGGGATGTGCCTGCCAGGAAAGCACCCAAAGTGGCACCACCGGCATGGAGAGGAGCAGTGTTTGCTTAGAGCAAGCTCAGTGGGTCAATACCTTTCTCTGCAGAGCTGTGTCTAGAATGGGCTCTGAGGCAACGTACCTGGAATGTCAAAGCAAACGTGATCTACAGCAGACCGGGAACTCAGCTGCCAGCTAGTTTTCAGTTCCTTCTGACCATGCCCACTGAGCACTTCGACTCTCCAAATGTGTGGATGTGACCTGTAGAAATATACATAAAAAATGCCATAAATATGCACCAGAATATAAAACTCAAGAACAAGTTCAGCTAAATAATTAACTTAAACACAGATTGTTCCCTGGATGAACTTATTGTAATAATAGAGATTCCACAAATCTAGACACCGATTTTACATGGTTTTGCAGAATTTTAGGTTTATGAAGAATGAGGAGTACTACAGAATTTGTTAGGAATTTATTATTTTATTCCAAAAAAGCAAAGTAAGAGGATGTTTCCAATTTGGCTATTTTGGATTGAACTTTGCAGTTCCCTGGTGAATTCTCAAATGTCCCCATTTAGTGAATAAAATTCGCTTTGAGCAGACTATACATAGCAAGACATCACCATATAGTGTAGTTTAGATCTCATACGTACAGCTGTACCAGTATTTATAGATGCATACAAAATTTAACTCACTCCTGGTAAAAATGACTAATGATGCTTGGACGAATAGGTAGTTGGAAGACATGCTGTTCATTCCAGGGATTCTCCTTGTAGTACTTCAAACATGACCTGGACATCAAGTGACAATAAAAAATAACAACTTACTACAAAAATGACATGGACATTGCCCCCTCTCCCCCCCCCCAATATGGTTAACCTTCTTTAACATAAATCCAGCTTTTGTCTGCCTTTTTAGTCTTTAAGAACAAATTTTCACTTTTTGTTTTTTAAAAATGCATTAAATTTTTTTGATGATGTGTATTTATTTTTTGAGAAAATTTGACTTTATTTTATCTGGATGAGCAGCGGTTTTGGGTCAGACTCTACTGTTATCCTAGCTAACTTTTTACTATTAATTTTAATATTCAGAGCAATAAGCACAAAATTGTTTTTAATAGTTGTTTTTTTATGTCATTTATTTGAGCATCCAAGAGGACACAGAGTGTGCATGCTATGAAAATAACACATGCTCTATTTCTTTATATGAATACATCAGCCGAGGGCAGCATTGCTAGCCCATCTTTTTCAAATGGTATCTGCAAATAAATAATCACAATACAACATGTTCTTCTCATAGGTGGCTACCAGCTTGAAATGCAAAGAATTAGTGAACCTACCATTACATAGCTCAGAAATGATTGGCGTTCTATATATAAAATGTGTATAAGAATTACTGGTACATTTTTATCACCAAATAGAAATCTACACATAGTTTAGTAAAACAATGGCACCAGAGAACTACTCTCCTGGTGACTAATCGGTGCTCTTTGTTCCAATTAGTCTGGTAACAGGTAATATCCAGATTGCAAACTTACTGTGTGAGCGGAAAAAGGTTCTCATGCCCCAGTGTCAAAAAGGCATTACAAATAACAACCACTTCCAACATGTGATGCAGTTTCTTCACCCGGTGTACCTGCTCCTCTAGTTCTACTGAAGGAGTAATGAAGTAATCCTGGAAGAGAGACAAAGTCTCATCACCTACCCAACAGAAACTGATCTATTTCTTCCATTTTCTTAACGTATAGGAAACCAACTTTTTATTTTTGGAGAAATATTTACTACATGAAATATGATCAAATAATGAAAATATGTGCAGTGTAACAGATTAACAGAGTAGAAACTAAGTAGGCCATCACAGTGTTACTCACTGGGTGATACAGGGTTAAGCTTAACAATGTGTGATCAACAAATTAGTCCTACAGCATTTATTGTTCCCTTGAGCCAAACATCTAAGCCATAAATCTATAACACTATGACTTGACAAGGGGAGCAAAAGGTTTTCTTACCAGGTAATTGAAAGTTGCCAGATCCTGACCTGTTAAGAAAACATTCTTGATTACTGTATGCACTGTAATGTTTAACACTGAAAACAGTCATCTGAAGCATGGATTTATTTTCAAATAATTAAGGCTGAATATGTTGCTTAGAGTTGAATCATTGGTTTTGCAGCAACTGTGACTGATTTTGTACCATGACTGAGTGTGATTTAGTGAATGGTAGGTGGCTTCTTCTAGCATCTCCTGTTATTTTGCCATTTGTCCGAGCCTCTTGCATGGGCTGCAATGTATACAGGCAATGTTTAGTTGTGACTTTTGGATTATTTTCATATATCTTCTGCATCTTAGCCTCCTTTACAATGCAGCTGCTAATACTGAAATCTGTTTAAATCACCCAAAGTGATATATAATGTATTAGTTTTTAGCAGAGTTGCTCTATAAATAACAATGTCTGAGCAATCTCTAGCAGGTAAGGCCTTGGAAAACTTACCTATAAAACAGTTGATATAATCTTTCTTCATTTTGTCCAGGCCAATCTCTAGCAGCATCCTGATGGGAGTGAGGCCTGAGAGAGAGATACTCTGCATGCTTCCATGGTATGATTGTTGAATTAGCTTGCTCAATGTACTGCTGCTTCCACGATGAATCTAAATAAATAAACACAAAATCTAACAAATTCACTGGGATTTGAGACCATGAGGATTCAACATTCTCCTTAGTAACCACTTGATATTTTTTGTCTATTTATTTACACAGTATCACTCTTTCTATTTGCAATTAGAACCAGCTGGATTGCTTGCTCTGAGATCTATATAACTACTTGGATTTTTATACAATATACAATTAGCACTATTGGGCTATTAGACCCTCGTTCTGGGCTCCCGCTACCTCTTTCTGATACATTGTGTTATTAGTATCCTATATAAGGACATAATGCAGGTGCTTATTTTGTCTTGATAAAAGTCCAATATAAGACTGAAACATCGACCGGCACGGAGTCTGCTTGAATAAAAGCGACATGAAAAACAGATGAGTTCTTTATTTGTTTGTTTATTTACTGGCTGGAGTTAAGCAGCCGAGCAAGGAAAAATAACTGAGTCTTCAAGTGCCCTGCTTATCTCTTTGTGTGTGCACATGTATCTTCTCATCCCTCTAGGTGGTAGGTGTAGCTTTAAAAAAGGGGTGGTAAGCAAAATGAGAAACAAGATACTTACCCAAGGATGCACTTCACCATGTTTAAGGGCCTGGATTATGAGAGAGAAACAACTGACTGCATCTTGATATGAAGAGACACCTACACATAATAAATGAATTAAAAAGTATATATAGACACATATACAATTTTTTATTAACATATAGTTTGAATAGTGTGAGTGTAAATTAGGCACTAATATGGATAGATTGCTTTGTCTGTGTATGTAAAAGCAGTTTTGCAAACAGATTCAGACACTTATGTTCAAGCAATGTAGTATGAAACAATAAGAGTTTGTTTTCGTGGTGGAAAGCAATTGACACGTTAATTTGCAAAGAATATATTTGTGCATTGTATTCTTCACACACACCCAAGCTTGTTATGAGATCAAATATATGGTTACATACTGAAATGTCAAAATTATTTTTAAGACAAAAATAACCTATATAAAAACATAGCTGACTGAAAAATATTTTTCAAATCTATTATTGTGGCCTAAAGTTTATAACTTGCTTTGAATTGCTGGCATACACACACACACTATTACCAATAGTATGTTGTGATCACTGTATATTATTGAATTTAGGTATTTCAGCAATGCATACTCAGAATGGGGGTGCCGAGTGAGGAAGCACATTAAAAAAAAAAAAAGGGTCTATCATCTATTGCATCACTCACTACAGAATTCTAAATTGGGTCTAAAAGCAATATCAGCACAAGAAATGTGTCGTGAGTTTTATGAAACGGGATTCTATGGCCAAGCAACATACAAGTGTCGGCTGAGTTGGCGTAAAGCATGCCACCAACGGTCTCTAGAGCAGAGGGAATGTGTTCTCTGGAGGGGTAAATCACGCATCATTATTTCAGTCTGGTAGAAGAATTTGGCTATGGCAGACACCAGGAAACCACTACCTCCTAGAATGTCTAGTGTAAAGTTTAGGAGAGGGACTGTTTTCACAGTTTGGATGAGGCCACTTAATTACAATAAAGGGTCATTTTAATGCTAAAGGATTTAAAGACATTTTAGACAATTGGGTGAGTCTAACTTTGTGGCAACAGTTAGTAAAAGGTCCTTTCCAGTTATTATTGCCATTTATATAGCGCCAACAGATTCCATTGCATTTTACAATAGTATAAGAGAAGGGATTTAACTATAAATAAGACAAATACAAGACAACTTAGAGAAACGATAGGTTGAAGAGGACCCCACTCAAATGAGCTTACAGTTCCAGCATGACTGCACCAGTACACAAAGTAGGGACCTATTGAACACATTTGAGATGAAATGGAGCCCCAAATGGGAGACTGATCTTCTAGTCAAACATTAGTGTCTGACCTCACAAACGCTCCTTTGGCTTTATGGGCACAAATTCCAAAATCTTGTGGTAAGCCTTCTCAGAAGACAGGCGGCTGGAAGGGGCAACTGCACAGAATACCTTTGGTTTTGAAATGGGATATCCAAAAAGCTTATCCAGTTGTGATGGTCACGTGTCCGCATATCTTTGGTCATATATTTTGTGTGTGTGTGTGCGCGCGCATGTTTGCATCTGCATCTATATATTTTCTAAATGCAACCAGAATATGCATGCTAGAATTTTTAGTGTTGTGTATACACTGGAGATATTTAAGTCATGTTCTATGTACTAATATTTCTGACTAAATCCTTTGATTCCTTTTTTGATCCTGATTGCAAATGAACTGTATAGTAGTAATCTAAAGTTGAATGTGTGTGGAGTGACATAATGTTGTAATGCAAGTGGTGTGTGTACTCGAATTTGCATACCAGTTCTTGCTATTAAACTATATTTGGACTTTGTCCAGAATTACCACTTTTGCTGACAGACCTTCTATATATGTCTTACTTTTTCTCATTTTGCACCAGACCATCTCAGCAAAGTCCAGATCGCCACGCTCTGTGATAAAAGACTGGATGGAGCTATCTACTGCTGCTACGTCACTTTTAACTTTCTAGAAGAGAGGAAGAGCTATTAAAGGCAAATGTCCGTTAATATTCAAAGGCCAAATGCATGCCGCTACAATGCATTCTACTTTGTACAAAGACTACCATGAAAGGGAGTTTTATTTTATATATTTGAGTTGAGATTTAACCACATTCATAAAGTGTATATGTTGTATATGTACAGTCCTTTTTTTAACCTAGACCTCATACTTTACATGTCCTATTGGACAGTAGCACATTCAGTTACCTCTTGATTACATGCCATTCTTAATTGACGGAATAATCCCTCTTCTGATACACGTTAAGGCAGAGATCTTACTTTGATGGTTTGAATGATTTAGATGTCATGGTTATTTAAAGGGTCAATTTTGACAAATAGTACAATGCTCTTCGCAACTTACTATTCACTGAACCACAGATCTCTCTAGTTGTGAAGTCACATCTAGGTCACACAGACGTCAAGCAGACAGCTCAAGTCCACCCAAGCCACCCATTGTTTGCCACTAGGGGATGGGCAGCTTATCAAAATCAGGACAAAGGTATCGGGGACATTTTTATCCATCACACAGACTGCACCATAAAAAAATGCATTCTAAGCTAAAAATCAGCCTACTTCAAATGTGACTGAGATAAATAATTATTTTTATTCATTTTGTAAAACATGCTATAATGGCAAACAATATATTATTACAAGGTTAGTTGAATATTTATGCAGCATATGCTCTCTCACACTAAAGTAGATTTATTGCAAAGCATGATGAGAGTTATAGTTTTACAACTGTTAAGATAGGACATGTTATCTATATCCATATTTCATGTGGCATGAAAACAGCTTGCCCATCTAAGTGGAAATTATATTGCTAACAAAACTGAGGTAGTAGATTAGTGCTTAAATTCTTACATTTCTAAAAGTAACATAACTGTGATTAACCGAATATGAGACATATATATACACACATATATATAGAAGTAAAGAAGGAATTTTTTCCTAGTTTGTGGCAAAATTGGAAGCGCTTCAGACTAGGTTTTTTTGCCTTCTTTTGGATCAACAGCAAAAACATATGTGAGGAAGGCTGAACTTGATGGACACAAATCTCTTTTTCAGCTATGTAACTATGTAACATGTTATTACATTAATAATACATTTTTGCATATGGACACCTTTCTCAAATCATAACATCACTGCATTACACATACAAGTACAGTATGCATGAATGTGTTTTCTTAACAGGTAGGTTACGCCATCCATATGGCCTGAAACGTTGTCATGTTAATTTCAATAAAATGTCTGCAGTATGATGGAATCTGTTTCTGCATTGGAAGTATTTCAGGGGATTGCCATCCCCTGAGCCTGGACCACCAGCATATTATTTGGATTAATTAACTCAGAGGATGTGTGCAGTTCCTACTGGAAACATTTATTAACATTACTAATGACAATGACTACTGTGCAAGAGGCCACAACCAAGTAACAGTAAAAGTGTTAATAGGGCCACATGCACAGATCCATTTCAGGTAAATCTCTTCCATCTGGCCATCAAAGAGTTAAAAGGCCATATTACCTGTTTAAAAGCAATACATATCAGAGTGCCAGAAAGAAAAAAAAAAAAAAAAAACTATCCACATCCATCATGTGTGCAGCGAGACTTGCACATACATAATACATGAGCCCTGCAAAAATAGTGGGAAATACTTTTATTGAGGCCGTTTGGATAACCCTTTCAAGCCTCAGGAGTAAATCCTCAGCAGTATACAAGCAATAGACCTCGACAAGAAGTTATTCCCCTTCGGGCGCACTTGTTATTTCCTACCTTTCTATCAATTTTTATTTAGGTTTCCTTTTTTATTTTATGCGCCCTCAGGCAAAACAACTGAATCGTGCAGTCGGCATGTGCATCACTCAATGTAATTGCCATACTTAATAATTGCGATACTACCCCTGAGTATTACCTACAACATGCAGACTGGAGAATTGCTTTATGATGACCTTGCAAATACAATCTTTAACCCCTTCAGTGCTGAAACAAATCTCACTGATAATATTCTTGTATATATAATTTAAGCCCACTACATATATACAGTCACCTCTGGATCTTTCTTGGTTCCCGTATTATTAACCCCATCCAGTTTATTTTTTAGTTCTGTCAAAAAAAGATAGAGATAAATTAGCTATACTGATTAATTTTACCGCTGTTATATTTTGAACACACAATAGAAAAAAACCAAAACAAAAACACCCAGTAATCTTTTACATAAAGAAACAATACATGCATTCAAAATTAAATATGATATCAGAGATGTATGGAATAAAAAAATAAAAAAAAAATCACTAAATTACCATTTAAAAGTTCCTGGACTAATTCCACAGCCGATTTACTTTCACTGGTTTCAGGCCACTCTGTCACCCCTGTCTTTAATCCGTCTGCCAAAACCTGCCGCAAGAAAAACAGTTTTACCCACTGTTTCTTTTTATGTATAACTTTATATAAAGCATTTATACATATTTATCTGAATTATAAAAGGCTTCTTTGTGCATTATCTTGCAAAAAAACATTAACAGTAAAAAACTAAAAAAGTGTTTACAAGGTTTCCATATATTTCATGAAAAAAAGCAAATACTTTCAAAATAAACAATGGATTTTTGGCCCACAAACTTTAGACATGCAAGTGTTTTTTTGTTTTTTTTTTTAACTTAGTCATGACTGTTTGTACACACACAAGGAAGATATATATAAGATAATAGGTAGAACATCAGTATGAATACATTGTACAAAAGAGAAATAGCATAACGCCAATGGACAGGCATATTTGTCAAAGAGACAATATAGGCACGAAAACAACTTTAGATAAATGAAGCAGTTTTGGTATATAGATCGTGTCTATGCAGTCGCACTGATAATATTCTGCCATTTAGGAGTTAAATCACTTTGTTTATACAGCCCTAGTCACACCTCCCTGCGTGTAACTTACACAGCCTTCCTAAACACTTCCTGTAAAGAGAGTTCTTATGTTTAAACTTCCTTTATTGCATTACAAAGCAGGGTCTAAAAACTGCCAACGCAAGTTAATATCTGATTGAAAATTAAACCTTTTTTTTTTAATGTAGGCTGTTTGACTCACAGCCATGGGAAGTGTGGCAAGGGCTGCATGGACAGAAGCAAATTCAGAAAATTTCCTCATACTTACCGTAATTTTATTTTCCTGGATACGTCCATGGCAGCATCACAATAGGGTTAGCTCCTCCCCCTTGGCTGTTTAGGACAGGAAATACTTACAAATAGGCCCTCCTTACCTGGTATCATCAGTCAAGTAACATGCTCGAAAAAAAAAAAAATAAGTAGGGAAAGAATAGATGCTGCCATGGACGTATCCAGGAAAAGAAAATTACGGTAAGTATGAGGAAATTTTCTAAATTCCTGGATACTAATCCATGGCAGCATCACGATAGGGTAATACCCAAGCTAATTTTATGGGAGGGTGAATTGAAACAAAAACAAGGTATTCATGCTCAAATAAGTGTTTGTTTATTCAGAGTCAAGAGACCGAGGAAAGAACATTTCTTCCAAACTCAGTGGTTGCTTTGGATCTCACATCCAGGGCGTAATATTTAATAAAGGTATTAGCTGAAGCCCAAGTAGTCGCTCTACAAATACTTTCTATAGGAGTGTTAGTAGCAGCTGCCCATGAAGTAGAGAGAGATCTAGTAGAATACGCCTTTAATCCCTCCGGGACTTGAGATTCCTGATACTGATATGCAGAAGAAATAGCTGAAACAATCCATAAGCTCAAAGTGGCTTTTGATGCAGCCAATCCCCTCCTGAATACCGCAAAGTTTAGAAAAAAGGTAGGAGATTTCCTCCAACTTGCTGTTTTATCCAGATAAATAGAAATGCATCTGGAGACTTCTAGAGTGTGCCACCTCTCTTCCTCTGGTGTAGGAGGAGACTGAAAAAATGATGGAAGGAAAATCTCTTCATTGAAATGAAATTCCGACATTACCTTGGGCCGGAATTCCGGATTTATTCTTAGTACCACTCTATCTGGATAGAACTTCATGTTGGATTCTTCCGTAGATAAGGCCTGAATTTCCGATACCCTTCTCCCGGATGTAATAGCCACAAGAAGAAGAACCTTAAGAGTAAGTAATCTATCCGAGGCCTCTGAAAGAGGTTCAAATGGAGGAAGAGACAAAGCCCTTAGTAGTAATGGAAGGTCCCAGGGGGGCGTTAAAGATCTGATAGAAGGTCTAGACTTTTTTACTGCAGTTAGAAACTGGATCACCATGTTGTCCAGAGCCCACCTGTAGCCAGTAAGGGCTGATAAAGCCGAAATCTAAACACGTAGAGAACTGATGCTTAGACCCGTATCCAGACCTGTCTGCAGAAATTCCAAAACAGAGACTGAGGTAGACAAGCAAGAGACCTTACTGATCTTAGCCCAATCCGCAAATACTGTCCAAATGCGGTAATACGTAGAAGAGGTAGAATGTCTTCTAGACTTCAAGAGAGTTTCAATTACAGCTGATGAAAAGCCTTTGTTTGCTAAACACCTCCTCTCAGTTTCCATGCCATCAAATGTAAAGTCCTTGGCCCTTGCACTGATGGTCCCTGAATCAGGAGATCAGGAATGTCCGGCAATTTCAATGGTTCGGTGATCACAAGAGACTTGAGGAGGGGGAACCATGGTCTGCGAGGCCAAAATGGAATAATCGCTAGTACTCGGAGATGTTCCTTCTTGATTCTCTTCAATGTTTTCCATATGAGAGGAAATGGGGGAAACACATATGCTATCTTGAACTCCCAGGGACTGGATAGGGCATCTGTGTTCAGAGCTCTGGGATGAAAAGTTCTTGAAAAGAACTTTGGAAGTTGAGTATTCTTCGCTGAAGCCATTAGATCTACTTCTCGTCGTCCCCACTTCAAGACCAGTTGACGGAATATCTTTGGATTTAATTGCCATTCCTTGGGATCCAGATAATTTCGGCTGAGAAAGTCTGCTCTCGAATTTTCTGGTCCTGGAATATATACAGCCGACAGACCCAATATCTTCTCTTGAGCCCATAACATAATGGGTTCCAGTTTCAGAAGAAGATTCTTGCTCCTGGTACCACCTTGCTTGTTTATGTAGGACACTGCGGTACGATTGTCCAAGTGAATTCTCACCCATCTTCCTATTAGTACATCCTGAAAATCTGTCAGGGCTAAGAAGACTGCTCTTAGTTCCAGAAGGTTGGCTGGAACATGGGAGGCTCTTTTCACGCGTCTGCCCTGGGCATTCCATTGAAGGAGATGAGCGCCCCAACCTGTACCACTGGCATCTGTAGTTATGTTCAGCCAATCTATTTCTCCTAGAGGAAACCCCCTGTGGAGGTGAACAGGATCTCTCCACCAGTCCAAAGCTTTCCGGTGGCATGCAGAAATGACTATCTTCTTGGACCACCTGTCTCTGTCTTGATTGAATCTTTCCAAGAAATACCTCTGAGGATAACGCAGGTGCCACTGAGCCCATTTTACTAGACCGATTGTTGACGAAAGGTTTCCCAACATGCTCATATACTCTTCGGCCGTGACCCATTCTGAGTCCATCACCCTTTGTGTCTTTGACATGACCCAAATTCTTTTTTTTGAAAGGAAAACCATGGCTAACTTTGTGTCGAACCATGCTCCCAGGAAGCATAAACTCTGGGAGGGGTCCAGATGACTCTTCTGGTAATTGACGACCCAACCAAACCTTTACAAATTCTTATAGCCTGGTTTCTTTGAGTTAGAAGTCTTGCCCTTGATCTCTCTACCAATAAAATATCGTCCAGGTAATGATATATCTGAAGGCCCTGAAGTCTCATCATAGCTATCAGATCCAGAAGGACCTTTGAAAATGTTCTTGGAGCAGTACTTAGTCCAAAAGGAACTGCCCTGAACTGGAAATGTTCTCCCAAAATTGCGAACCTCAAATACCTTTGATGATGATCTGCTATTGGAATGTGGAAATAGGCGTCCTTCAGGTCTATTGAGATCATCCAATCTTCTGGCTGAATTACTGCTATTATGGAAGACAAGGACTCCATCCTGAACCTTTGGATGTTGAGGGACAGATTCAACTTGTGTAGGTCTAAAATCTGACGCCAATCTCCAGATGGTTTTGGAACCAGGAACAGATTCGAGTAAACCTCTAAACCAATTTCTTCTTGAGGAACTCTTGTAATTACTCCCTCTTGCAGAAGATTGGAAATATCTCTTGTCAAGGCTTGTCTTTTCTCTGGCAACTCTGCAGTTTTTGAGATCGTGGATCTGTTTTGACAGGGAAATACCTTGAACTCTAGTCTGTATCCTTCTTTGAGGACAGAAACCACCCAGGCATCCAAATCTGCTTGAGCCCAGGTTTCCCAAAAGGCATGGAGACGAGCTCCTACTCCCGAGACTTGGGGTCTCCAACCTTCAGAAAGGTCTGTTTGAGACTCTAGAACCGGTTGAGGATCTACCTCTGGCAATTCTTCCAGACTGGCCACTTCTCCAGGTTGAACCTCTTGTGAATTCTCTCCCTGGCTTATAGGACCTTGATTCTCGAAAGGACTGTCTGTCCTGAAAGGATCTTCTGTCCTGCCAGTTCTGGGAAAACCTTCTACCTCTGCAAATTGGGGAAGAAAGACCTTCTTGCCTTTGGCAGCTCTTTTGATGGCCTCCTCCAACTGCTTGCCAAACAATAATTGCCCAAGATATTAATGGCATATAAACTATTTTTCGCAAATAGGTCCGCATTCCATGATTTTAACCATAGGGCTTTACGAGCAGAAACTGATAATGCCATATTTCTGGCTAGGTTCTTAATTATATCCAGAGATGCGTATGAGATAAACTCAGTTGCCCATTTAATTTCTGATAGAGATTGTAATAGAGATGGCCTACTTACACCCTTCTCAATATCCTCTTCTAGAAGACAAAGCCATTTCATAAGTGCCTTAGAGACGGAAGTCATAGCTACTGCAGGTCTACAGGCCACTCCAGCAGAAACATAATTCTTACAAAGATTGATGTCAATCTTTCTATCCATAGCATCCTTGAAGAAAGCTACTTCATCCAGTGGTAGGGCTGTGTTTCTCCCCAGTCTAATAATGGCCGCATCTACCTTGGGTGCATTATCCCAATCAGCAGTGTCTTTTTCAGAAAAGGGATATATAGAGGATATCTTCCCTTGAGCGGAGACCCTTTTCTGGGGTTTTCTCCATTCCTTGAGCATTAGCTTCTTAATGGCTTCATGACTCGGAAAATAAGGTTTCTTCATCAATTCTGGAAATATAGATGAGGAAGGCTTAGAGGTACTAGGTTCTTCAAGCTTCAGTGTATATCTGACAGCCTTAATTAATTTTTCAATGGTCTTAATATCCAATGTGTTCTTCCACTAAGTCCGAATCTTCTGAGGAATACATCTCTTCACCCTTCTCCGACTGAGCTTCCACAAATGAGGCATCAGAGTCTGAATCTTCTCTATCTCTATGATAAGTTGTTCTTGGCCTCTTATTAGCTCTCCGCTGTTCCATGGACTTATCTACTGCCATCTGGATCCACTTCATAATCTCTGGAGATGGATCCTTAGGAGAACCAGCTGCTTCGGACAAGCAAGTACAACATAGCTTCTTTCCTTCCAAAGCCTTAGCATCGCATGCAATACAACGGGCAGACTTGTGAGACTTCTTTCCTCCAACAGATCTTTCCGATGTGTCAAACTCATGGACACTAAAACCAAATGGAAAGAAGAGGATTGAAAATACTATTTCTTTGCGCTCTTTTAATCCAATAAAAAAAGGAAAAGGTTTACCTTGAGTGCCTAGAAGGAGACCCTCTTGAGGAATACACAATAATTAAAGAATGATAAATGAAGAATACCTATTAAAAGAGTAAACCTAAAGGTAAAAGAATGCTTCTAACCTGCACTAACAAGAATAAACACCAAAGAAAGTATTCTTAAGAAATTTCAGCTTAAACCCAAGGAGAGAGAAAAAGAACACCTTATCTCTTTAAATAGCAACAACCAAATGAGCATTATCCTGAACTACCTTCAATGCGCATGCCCAATCAGCCGAAATAAGGGAATAAAAAACATTCAATTCACAAAAAAATTAACATACCTTTCGTTTGCCAAACTGATACTAAGCATATGAAGACAGGAAAATTCAACCGAATGACATTTTCACACGAACGCAGAAACAAACGAATGCTACCAGAGCCTATAAGGAAAACGCCGACCAAGGTGGCAAAATGGCGGGAAACTGCCGAACGCAGCTTCCAAACGAATGAACACTAAGAACACAGGCAAAAAAGCCCATAAGAAGGTCTCCCATTATAAATCCATTACCAGCAAAAATTATAAAGAATGCAGGTAACTTATATCCTAAAATGATATAAATATTTTGCAGAAATGTTTATCCATTATACCGCTACCATTAGGATCACTGCAGATTACACACACATTATATATATATATATATATATTCTCAATGTGTGTTTACTACACGCACCGCTACCATAAGGATCACTGCGGCTATAAATCCCTGAAAGGAAAAGCATGAGTCACACATAATGACCGCTACCTTTACGATCACTGCGGACTTATCAAAGGTATAAAGTGTATACTCCACGCATCGCTACTATTAGGATCACTGCGGTTAAATCTCTTATGCGTGAGATCACTTAACAAAAACAGCTACCCGTAGGATCACTGCGGTACAATTTTCATCACATAATACCCATTATATTAACGTTATTCGATAATTATTGCGGAATTCTTCTAATATTAAGGATATCTGCCTTGTATATTTTCTTGTTTAAAAACATTTAAAATTTCCATTTCTTCCAGGAGAGAGAGGCTGAACTCTCCTGGGAATTAAAGAGGTAAACTTAAAATAAAATAAAGGTAAGGTAAATTACCTGAATCATGTCCACAGCCAAGAGGACAGGAAAAAAGACTGATGATACCAGGTAAGGAGGGCCTATTTGTAAGTATTAGCCAAGGGGGAGGAGCTAACCCTATCGTGATGCTGCCATGGATTAGTATCCAGGAATGTTATTTAACTCCTAAAGGACAGAGAATTGAGCAGTAAAACTTCAAAGGCATGATCTATGCACAAAAACTGCTTCAAAAGCTAAAGTTATGCCGGTGATAGTGTCCCTTTAATTTTGCTCCTCAGAGGCATGATTTAAAAAAAAAAAAAAAATAACACGGCATCACAATCAAAAAAATAACAGTAAGAAATATCAAATTATGCACAGGGAAAACAAAACCACCACAAAGGAATAAAAGATAGCCTAATAATATAGATTAATACTGAAGCACACTTACAAGCAGGAAATCTAGTTCTTTATATACAGGATAAACTGGGCTCCTGAGGTCTCCAGATTCCACCTTTATATTCTGAAAGATATAAAATGTTTTACAAAATGAAGTGGACAGAAAACAGTTAAGGAATATGAAATGGTATTTGGTCTGATTATTTCCTTTATCTAAGACATGTATGAAAATAGTGCAGTTTGTAATTATTAACCCCTTAAGGACACATGACGTATGACATGTCATGATTCCCTTTTATTCCAGACGTTTGGTCCTTAAGGGGTTAAAATAATCCTCTGCTTTAGAAATTAACAGAATATCCGCTCTTTCATCACTTTATCAAAGTGCTGATTTGAAATTAAAATCTACAATAAAGTTGCACCCTCACAGTTGTCAGACAGCTGGGAAAGTGCTCTTTCTGATCGATTTGCATCCCAGCACAAAGTAAAACGTAATGTTTTTCTATGAAAAGCACTGTCTGCGCAGTGCCTAATGATTCTCTGAGAAGCATTTTAATGAACTGGAGATCATCAGTCTCCCAGCAGGCAAAACAGAGAGAGGGACCCTCTCTTTAGTGAATTAGAGCCAAGTCAGCCCTTTATTTCATAGGTTTTACTGTGGGACAGGGGTCCTCTAGACTAACCAACTCTAAGTCAGTGGTGTATCCTGGTTTTGTGCTGCCCTAGGCATGCCAAAACTCAGGTGCGCCTCCCCCTCTCCCCCCCCTGCAACACTCCCCCTTACCCGCCTTCTAAATACACACTCACTCACTCACAGACAGGGCCGGATTAACATAGGGGCTGATGGAGCTGCAGCTCCAGGCCCAGGCCCATGGAGTAGGCCCATTGATTTATAAAAAAAAGTTTTTTTTTTACATTTTTTTTTTTTCACACACTACTCTTAGGGATTCCACCTGGCTTTTATTTTATTTACACTTTACATTTTATTTACACAGTGTCCCCATGTCTCCCAGTGTCCCCATGTCTCCCAGCCAGTGTCCATGGTGTCTCAGTGCCCCCAGTCTGCCAGTGTCTCACTGTCCCCATGTCTCCTAGTGCCTCCATGTCTCCCAATGCCTCAAATGTCTCAATGTCCCCATGTCTCCAAGCTAGTGTCCCTGGTGTCCTTGTCCCCATGTCTCCCAGTGCCCCAATGTCTCAATGTCCCCATGTCCCCCAGCCAGTGTCTCTAGTGTCTGTGTCCCTGGTGTCTGTATCCCCATGTCTTCAAGTGTCCCCTATTTTCCCAGTGTCCCCAGCCAGAGTCCCCTAGTCTCCCAGTGTCACTGGTGTCTCCGTGTCCCTAGGTCTCCCCGTTTCCCCAGGTCTTCCCGTCTTCCTAGTGACATGGGGACCCTGGCATACATGGGGACACAGGGAGACATGGAGCATTGAGACACTGTGATTCATAGGATCCCTGGGAGACCTGGGGACACGACACTAGGGGACACTGGGAGACATGGGGCACTGAGACACTGATACATAGGAACACTGAGACCTGGAGTAATCGACACATGGGGGCACTGGGAGAAATCCATCTATACAGCAGAATCAAACTAAAGAGTTTATTGGTGATTTTACAGCATTTTCTCTTATGTCACTCCTTGTGATTTACATCATGTCACCCATACATATTTAATTATGCAAATTAGCAAGGCCGGTATGTTTTTCCAAGAAAGGTGGCAACCCTAACTACTTTTCACATACTCTTACTTAAGTATGGAAACTTAAGGGGGATGTATGGGAACACAACTTGTGTGGAATGGCTGACAATGAATATAGAGTCACTAGAGTCACCAGAACAACTACAGCTTATTGAATTTGTTCTGTTGAGTAGAACCATTACCGTCATGCTTTTTGCTGTAAACACTGTCTTTTCAGAGAAAATGCAGTCTTTACATTACAGCCTAGTGATAACTTCACTGGCCACTCCTTAGATGGCTGTTAGAGTTCAGTGTCTCCTCCCTCTGTATGCAGACACTGAACTTTCCTCATAGAGATTCATTGATTCAATTAATCTCTATGAGGAGATGCTGATTGGCCAGGGCCGTGTTTGAATCATGCTGGCTCTGCCCCTGATCTGCTTCTTTGTCAGTCTCAGCCAATCCTATGGGGAAGCACTGTGATTGGATTAGACCACCACTTCTAATGATGTCAGCAGACTGCTTGTTTTTCTGAGTCTAACAGCATGCAGAGTTACAGCTTCAGGCTTGAATACTGTAAGATTTTGCTATATTTATGGAGGTATAAGGGGCACAGGGGGGCTAAATGGTGGTGTTAACACTATAGGGTCATGAATTCATGTTTGTGTTCCCGACCCTATAGTGATCCTTTAAGGTAATGCTGACTTTGGTCTTTCTAACACTTTGGCATGTTCCCTTTCTTCTACACTCACTACATACAGCTTTTCTCTGTCCCAGACTATATACCAGGAGCTTCTGCCTACTAGTAAGAAGGTAAGGAGACAGGTGGACCAGCGAGTGTTAGGGGACAGTCCTTAGAAAGCGTTGAGCAAGCCCATCATTAGATGCATTTATGCCAAGCTCGGTGCTGTCTGCATAGTATGCCCTTAGTTGGCCAGCTGCATGATTGGCAGGCAGCCAGACATGCATTCATGCCAGGCTGGCCTTCTAATTCTTTTGGCAGTCATATCCTCTTTTTGGGCCTGTTCGCCCCTTTTGGCAGGTTATGTGATTTGTGTCAGTGGCACACCCTTTTACCGTGCCCATTGACTTCTTGCTTGACTGGACACTGCTGTTAGGGGTTATGGATTTACTTGAAAGATGAAAACATAAATTAGTGAGAGATTAGCCTACTGTATGTGTTTTCTTATAGCTGCTGTTTTCTTTCTCTCCAGCACCATCTCCATCAGATACATGACGCTTGGGAGTGTTTTACTATTTTTGGTCGATATGATTCTGTAATTAGGCCCGTCATAATTGTCAGCACCAGGCCCACTGGGCTCTTAATCTGGCCCTGCTAACAGACACACACACTCACTCACTAACAGACACACACTCACTCACTAACAGACACACACTCACTCACTAACAGACACACACTCACTCACTAACAGACACACACTCTCACTCACACATTCACTTTTTCTTTTAAAAATTCAACCCCCCCCCAGCCTCTTTACCTTTGGGAATGCTGGGGGGGTTCTCCCTTTTCTCTGGGGCTGGCAGTCGGGCGGCGCTGGCGAGGGAGCACTTTGATGCCGGTCACTCTGAAGTGCACGAGGGAACTGAGCAGAGCGCTCAGGGGAAAGTGCTTCTTCGCCAGCGCCGCCCGCCCGGTTTGTCAGTTAGCCGCAAGGCTAATAAGACATTTGCCCTGGGCATTTGGGGGCGGATTTTTTTGCCGCCCCCTGGAAAATTCTGCCCAAGGCAAATGCCTTGTTTGCCTCGCAGCTAATACGTCCCTGCTCTAAATACATTGATTTATTTATTTAGAAGGCTGGAATGTTCATTTAATGGGAAGTTACAGAAGTACATGCAAGGGTGGCCAAAGCTTAAATCCACAGTCTCTACAATATTGAAAACGCTCATCCTTAAGGTTGGCAAAGTATTACAAAAGATGTACGACTGCAGAGTGGGGAGCCACACTTTTCACTATTCTTGATACAGAGTATGGCATGTTCTAAATGTTAAGGTGAATATTGTAAAGCGCTACGGAATCTATCGGAGCTATATAAATCGCGATAATAATAATATAGTAGTACAAGCTATCACTTGTATGTAATAGGGAGTGTATCATACCAATGTTGCTGCTGATGTTAGTGGTGGAATCTGTAGGATGCTGTCCACACCATTCCAGACAAAGTCAACCATGACACTGCTCTGTGATTCTATAACCGAGTTCTCAACAGTGTTGGTGCCAAATAAGTCATATTGCGCAAACCCCCTAGTCTGCATCTGTGAAACAACAATAAGTTAGAAATAACATTGTGCAAGAACTTCACTTTTAATGTACATCTGGCAGGACTTAATGTCAAAATATATGTATAGATGGGCTGCAACGCTGGTCAAGGCAGTAATCTCAGAGCGTACTCTGGTCCTCAAAACTATACACCATGGGGGTTAGCAGTTGCTTACTGATAATGGATCTAGACTAGCTGAGGTAAATGTCAAATGCCTTCAAAGCATTATTTTCTATTGATAAGTAAGTTAATACATACATAACTTTCAACAAATTGCTTAGAATATAAAAAATATATAATGTCACCCTATTGGCTAAACAAACTCACAGCAGATGAATGGTGCCTCTCTCTATGGCTTTTCCTTAGCATTTCCAAGCTAGGGAATAAGGTTTTATCAGCTGTGGGACCTATTAACAGAAACAAAGACAGGTTTAATTAACATTACCATAAGGAAGCAAATAAAAAGATAACGTTAATCATGCAGAATGTTGAGTAATCAAGGCCTGTAGTTAGATTCACTTATAAGTCCTTATTGTTAAAAAGCTTCATATGTCCAGGATTTCAAATAAAGTAGCTCTGTCATCACTGTCCCCCCCATCCCCAAATTAAGAAATAATTACATACTGAAATGTACGTTGAACTATTTTGACTCTTATTGCACAATAAAGCAGAATTATAAACATTTATCAAGTCCTCTGAGTGCACTCTTTCACTGTATGTGTATATATTTCTTTTTTTTTTTTTTTATACAAATAAGTGTAGTTCCACATTTTAGAACTACACTTATGCTGATGGCCAATATTAAATCATCTGGTGTTAAGAAGACAGATTAGTTGAAGGACCACTCCATGCACCATAACCACTACAACACTCTGTAGTTGTTATAATGTCAGAAGCGTCCTGGCACACCCCATTGCAGGTAGTTAAACAGTTAAAGAATGCTTTGGCTTCCTACCTGGGATCTGCCAGGTAAGCCATGCATCACCAGGCTTAGGTAAAACAGAGCCTCTGACTCTGGTGAGACTGTAGTGAAGAGTGGCACCTGGAAGACCCCAGGAAAAAACACCATTCTAAAATAGTATTTACAGTGGGGGCCATCAGGGCACTCTTGTCATCATAACTACTGCAGCAGGTCATAGTGGTTTTGGTGCTTGAAGTATTCCTTTAACATTGCGGGGCAGTTGTGTCAACATGGTTTTAGCTAATTAAACTATTAACACTGAGCATCAGTGGGGAAATAGTGTCTAGCTCTGCTGTAGTGATTGATAATTCTCATTTACCTGCACAGGTTACCATGCGAAAACTCATCCCAGTTATCTCATTCCTATTAGCTTTAATGGGTTCTGCACCCAACCAGCATGTTCCCTCAGAATCTGAGCCGTCACATCGCACCCACATTGGAGGAAGTATGTCCACTGGCTTCCCATCCCTCAGCTGGGTCATGTTAGGATTTTGTGCCAAAGTGTAGCTGGAAAGGAGTTGCCTAGAAAGCCACAGAACTGATTATAATAAATATAATTCAAACCCGTCAGGATTAATCTTGGTCATTGCTCTCCTGTTTATTTTTAAAGATTCTTTTCAAAGGAAGTAAAGTTCATTAACTATCACCAACCTAGGCAAACAATATACTTCACATTTTTCATCTTTTATTTCATACAAGATAGGAGACTGTAAAAATATTACTTTTTCCTCATTAACATTACGGCAGATATTAGACACAAAATACCTAGCATGCATTTAGCACAGACTGTGTCTTTAAGGGACACAACTGCCCAAATACAACATAAATAAAATGCAATGTGTAGTAAATATACCCCAAATGAAAACGTGCATGTATTTAATTATGCATTTTTTCATTGGGGGTAAATCTAAAAACATCTTGAAAAACCTACACTTCTCTTGTCTGCTGCATTTGCAAGCAGGCAAGAGAGACTTTCTGTGACTGTCCAATCACAGACTTCCCAATGCAGCTCAATCAGAAGTCTTTGTAAGGCAGCTGCTCTGGGCAATTGCAGCCTCTTCAGTTTAGCTCCACTGAGCTAACAGGAAAAAAACCAAAAGAGACACTCTTCACACAGAAAGCTTTTTAGCAAGCTGAAGTGCTGTAGGGTTCTGGAGTGTCACTTTAAATATGTTACAATTTGATATTTATACACTACACACGCACTCTGCCATAACAAATTGTTTGTGCTACAAGGTTTTATATCGATCACAAGCAGCAGATACTTGGGAGCATCAGAGAAGGGGGTTTAAAAATGCACAGTTACAAAATAAGTATAATGTTGTGCACACTGTATTCTGAATACGCTACTGAAATTACCAAAAAAAGAAAAAACAGACAACCATAAATCACACTTTGAGTACATCAACTGTATGAATATGTATCTGGGCAGAAATTTGTTTTAAAAAAAAATAAAAAATAAATATTGGCAGTCTCATGGGTGGATTAACATGGAAGGCAACCGAATAAATACTTAACATATAGTTATGGCAATAAGTTTATCTTTTGAGAGGATCTAAAATGTATTTGTATCTAAAACTATAAAGAAAAGTAAGAGGCAGGACACTTTATTAATGAATGTCGGGTATAAGTGATACATCATGAATAATAACGTCTTCCATATTGTAAATAATGAATGGTTAAACAGTTGACATTTCAAATGAAAGTGGCAGGACATTTTATAAAGGAATGTATGTATAGTTTACCTGTTTACGGAATGTTATGTATGTGTTTTAAAGAGTGTCACCTATATACCTGGCTCTCATAGTTGGCACAGCCATAGGTTGGGAACTTTCTTGAAGAGCCAGATCAGAAACATGGCTGCCGTTATGCTGGGATTCATCCAGTAAATCCTCTTCTAATCGGAAAGGCTATAAAGTAAGACATAGTTTATACTCTGCTTTACCATAAACCACGCACATTATTACATTGGAAATTTATATCACTTACCTTTTTTTCAAAGATAAAAGTCACCCCACTTCCACTCCAAAAATTGTCCAATGACTTGCACTGGCCAGCCCTGACCACATGTACTTGAAGATCATCCTAGGTTGAAAAGAAAATTATTATTTTTTAAAAAATTACGTCTGCTAAATATTGTTGTTTCCTGAGACACTATACAGTGTGAGAAAGATAACAAAGTGTGGATAGTTAGATTGCAATAATTCTATGGGGAAGAGTTTGCTATTCTTCGATTTCAGCATAACTTCCATGAAGATTTGCGTGATGCTGTCAAAGAGATTTCCAACACTGAACCAATGCCAGCTTCATACCGACAAGCCCCTAAACAGTGGGGCATTGGTTCATTCAGATTGCAGCCCCTTCATTTAACCTCGCTGGCGGTCTGATTATGTCAGTATTTTTTAATGTTAAAGCAGTACATTGTTTTTACAATGTATTGTGTGTATTGTTTTACACCATGAACTCGGGATTACCGCCAGGGAGGTTAAATAATGAATATGTTATAAAACAGCAAGTCACTGCAAAGGAGGCCTAGAGAAAAGTGGGAATGAAAAAGTGTCAATGCTCTCTGCATGGATGTGTTTCATGTGGCACTAAAACTGTGAGGATGACTGGAACAGAAACAAGTTATATTTGTCTTGGGAAAGCTGGGAACATGGGAGTACTATACTGAAGTCAATATACCACAGCCTCTGTCACCCCCACTATAATCCCTATACTCCCACTATACAAACCACAATAGTCCCTTCACCTCCCACCGCTAAAGGCCCTATTCCTCACACTGTAGACACTACCCTCCCCAATTTAGGCCCTATAGCCCCACCATAGCCTTAACCCTCCCACTACATCACCTATGACCCCAATATAGCCACTATGTCGCCATTTCCCCACTACAGTCCCAACTGAAACACAAGTAGCCACTTCCAGACGTGCAACCCCACAAGCAGCATATATATCCATTGAGGATACTGGCCTTAGGGCAGCAAGGAAGGTAATTCCGGCCCTGGTAGGACCGGAGTTGCCTTAAGGCCACAGCATGGCCTGTGGGGAGAGGATACTTTTTTGTTGGGGCTGAGTTTTTGCAGGACCTTTAGGTTGAATTTGCCCCTGGGCCAAACATTTTGACATGCATGCGCAATAGACTCACAATGCTTTCCTATTAAAAAAAAAATAAAAAATTTGGATTGGCTGATACAGCAAGTTTTATAATCACAGCCATGGATGCTGGGCCAGCAGAGGCCAGACCAGCATGGCAGTGGAGAAAAAACTTTTTACTCCACAGTACAAGGGCCGGGGGAGCTAAATAGCCACTGCAGTATTATAGTGACAGGAATACATGTTTTTATTTCAGACACTATAGTGTTCTTTTAATATTCACCCTTAAAGCCAATCCCAGTCTGAAGGAGCTAGGAGTAGGTAATGATTTATTTTCTTAAAGTTACAGATGCATGAAATTTATCTGTTTCACATACTAAGGAATTGTGGATATTTTGGTTTACGTATAAACTTTAATTGTTATTGCTACAAAGATATTTACCTCATAAAGAAAAGAGCCCGATGAGTCTCCTTTTTTCACATCTTCATTAACACTAACAAAAGAAAAAAAAGTATTGTTAATACTGAGATTACTGGCCTTTCTTATAAATAAATAAAAAAAATTGAATGTATTTTCGTCGGGTTTCTTCTTCTTTTTTTTTTTTTAATTGTAACAAATTACTTTAGAAACATTAAGTCAAACTGACATGAAAACATTGCACTTGTACAATTGACATAACACAACTCTCACTAGTGACAAAGTCTTCTTAGTCTGCTGTTATCTGTCCAACTGCTGCTCAACCTAACTTGTCTGCTGCTGTGATTTCTGTTTGAACCTTAGTCAGCACAATGGAGAGATCCACATTGGTGGAGACTCCTCATGGTGAAAGGTGTGAGGGTCTGTTTGTTATGGACACTTGCTGTGCACTTGCAGTAGGCTATTCGCTATAAATCACTTCTGAGGATAGCAACCTTTGGCGTTCCAATCTGGCTAGGCATCCTAGATATATAAAGTCTATCACATCTAGAGTAGCAGTGGTTAACCAGCAATGCTATGGAAACTGCACACAGGGCTTTACTTTAGGACCCTGATCCTAGCTTGTGGTGTCTTTCACTTAAAGGGACACTCCAGGCACCCAGACCACTTCTGCCCATTGGAGTGGTCTGGGTGCCAACTCCCACTACTCTTAACCCTGCAATTGTAATTATTGCAGTTTTTTTTATAAACTGCAATAATTACATTGCAGGGTTAACTCCACCTCTAGTGGCTGTCTACTAGACAGCCACTAGAGGGCACGTCCTGGTTCCTAGCAAAGATTTTCTTTGCTAGAGCGTTGCTGGACGTCCTCACGCTGTGTGAGGACCTCCAGCGTCGCTCAATTCCCCATAGGAAAGCATTGAAAATCTCTTTCAATGCTTTCCTATCGGAAGACCTAATGCGTGTGCGCGGCATTGCCACGCATACGCATTATGTTTCCTCAGCCGGCGGGCAGGATCAGTCTCGCCCACCGACTGACGTGTTTACTGGGAGGAGCGACGCCGACCTGAAACCACCGCCGAGGGACATCGGCAGGGTCTCAGGTAAGTGACCTGAAGGGAGAGGGTACCTGCAGTGCCAGGAAAACAACTGGAGTTTTCCTTTAAGTAAATAACCTATAATTCAAAAGGGATTTCAAATTTTAGGCAAAAATATTCAAACTGAAAACACAGCTGACTTGCAGTTATTTACTGAAGTGGGAATTGTTGGGAATTCAAATGTAAGGCCAAAGTAAGCAAACTGGAATATTTTTTTTCTATTTGTCTATTTAGACCTTAAAATGCGATATCATTTGAATCCCAACAATTCTCACTTAAAAGGAAAACACTCTAGCGTTAGGAATGCAAAGATGTATGCCCAACACTAAAGGGAATCTCCCCACCCCCCTCCTCCAGTGGCACATAAAGTGTTATTAAACTCCTTATTCACTTTTTCAATTTTAGTGCCGATGTCCTACTGGCACTGGTGTTGGGCTCCTCCTCCGCCAATATTAGCTAATCTAATGGTGGGGACAAAATGGGCATGCGCTGCAAGCACGGCGCACGCATTAGGCCTTCCCTTTAGGAAAGCATTGACTCAATGTGCTCCTACGGGAAATTTTAAAACGCTGGACGTCCTCTGAGCAAAGTGTGAGAACGTCCAGCACCGTTTCACGGAGACAAACTCCACGAAGGGCCAGGAAGCGCCTCCCTCTATTGGCCGTCTAAAACCCGGCAACGTAAACATTGCTGGAAACATTTCTCTGAAACGGCAATGTTTTACATTTCAGGATTAAAGGGACAGGGACACTGCCCCCACACCGCTTCACTGGGATGTGACAGTGTGGGTGTAGTGTCCCTTTAATTACTATCCCTATGGTGCTGTAACTCGGATAGGTTTATACTACAATGGGAGATCCCCCTGACTCGCTGCACAGTTCGCGCTTTATTGAATAGGCCGCCCTCTCACGGACCCGCTGAGGAAGCGCTGCAGGTGTCGGGCCGCCCGGTGCCGGTCACTCCACATGCTGACACGGTCTGTCAGTCAAACTGCGCGGGCCGGGGCTGTCACCGGGGTCATGGCACCGGAACTACAAACACAGAACCTGAAACTCGTCATACATGTCAAAACACACATATATCGTCACAGTCTAAACGGCCACGTCTAATGTGGGTCAGCAAAGCCCGGCTCGCTCATATTTGTACAATTTTTCATGAAGTTATTACTCCAGCTGCTACGTCATCATCACATCCGGCGAAGGAATGAAGAGATCCCTCCGCGAAACAAGTAGTCCCCGCTCTTGTTTGTGCCTTTTCGGGTGATTTTCTTGTCCCGCTGTCCATTAATGCGGTCGTTTCTCGAGCTGCGGGTGTGATTACATTATATTACCGTGTCACTGCCCCTCTCCGGGCTGTTTTAGCGCCCTCGCCTTACTCCACCCCCTCCCAGGCGGAGTCATATAGGAGTGCTGCACGCCTTCTCCTTCCTTTTCTTCCCGTGGCCGCCATCGAGAAGCAGCGAGGAGCCGGCGGTCAGCATGGTGAGGCGGGCGGGGAGGAGAAGGCCTGTGATAGCGGGCTCGCTCCGGGATGGCGGGGCGGTGGGGGGAGGACCGGCACCGGGAGGGCCCTCAGTCCCCGGGCTGTGCTCGGTGTAACACCCGGCTGGCGCGGCCTGTGTGCCGGGGAGAGAGAGCCACGTTATCAGCGCATGGGGGGGCGGCCGGGCCTAGTGACCGCCATCGGCCGGCCGGCTGTATAGCTGTGCGGGGGGGTACCTGGCTCTCTCCGCTCTCTCTCTCTCTCACTCGCTGTCAGTCAGTCAGTTAATATAAAGCTGTGCGAGGCCGGGGCTACCAGGCTGGGCACACAGGACCATGGAGGGAGGCCGGCCGGGCAGGCTGATACCGGGCTTAGCAAACATGTGCTTCCCGGAGCCGGCCTTCCAGCACACAAACAGGCCGCGTATTATTCACTGCAATAACACCGGGAAACAAACACGGCTGGTGGCCCAATAGAACCGGACTGGGAACCGCTGCAGACTATTAACAAAACTCACCCAGCAAACTGCTTCTCGGACACGGCGGAAAGATGAGACAGGGGATATAAAGTGCTCACACTAAACATAGTGTCACATTTTACAGTGGGCAAAATAAGTGTGTGTATATATAATAAACTTTTTTTTTTTTTTAAATTCTGCACAAGCGCTCACTTCAGTTTTAAAGTAACACGGTGGCACATGCTAGAAGTTGAAAACCATAATTGCAGACAAATCCTCTCACAATGCTGGAGGAAATTAATTTAAATCTATACTGCGGTATAGAACTTGACACTTCTTGTGACAAAATTCTTTATAGAATCTGATTCTAATGTATGTTTGTAAGACAAATTAGTTTTTTGTAGATTTAGGTTTCGTCTATTAATTTAAGTTATTGTGGTTGTAACTAGACCACTTTATGCTGTATTCTCCAGCTTTTAAATGGTATATGCTACAACTTTCAATATCACAATGTGGGCTATAATGCTAAATGAGTCCTTTGAAAATTGATGGATCTAAAGGACGAAGTAGCTGACAGTCACTTTAAAGGCATATTTTTGGCAAATTGTAAACCTTGTCATTTATCAGAAATTACTGTTTTTCATTGTCTGAAAGGGACTGCATTTATTCAGCAAAACCAGTCCATATATATCTACTAGTTTGGGGGATTATTGACCACTTTTTATTTTTTTTGATTAGTTTTTTAACAAACTATTGGTTTGTTTTTATAGATTTATTCCGTACTCTCCCTAATATTGTGGCGAGTGGGGTCTTGACTCTCAGGACCAGTTAGACAAATACGTTATTGTGACCGACCTGCTAGGTCAGTTCTGAATGGGCTAATTTTCACTTGTTTCATTTTAACATTTACATTTGATTTCAAACCATTTCATCTTTTAACTATGTATGCCACTGAGTAATTTCTTGCTGGGAAAAGTTAGATTGTTTGTTATTTTGTCTGTGTATATGTACTTTACAGTAATGAAGGACTTCAATGATGGTGTAATTTGCGTCTTACGTGGTACTAAGCGACAGTTGCCTGCTGTCAAAATGCTAATACTATGGGATGACGATTCTTTGAGACTGAGAGTCCAATAACCTTACAGTTGTTTTACTCATCCATCACTTATATTGTTTACACTTTTTTTTTCTCTCATCTTTCCTAGGCCTGCACTCGTCCTTTGATAACGGTATACTCTGAAAAGGGAGAAGTATCAGGCAAAAATGTTACCTTGCCTGCTGTATTCAGGGCACCCATTCGTCCTGATATAGTCAACTTTGTACACACCAACTTGCGCAAGAATAACAGGCAGCCTTATGCTGTGAGCAAGCTTGCTGGTATGTCTTAAGTGTTTTGTAGTGTGTTGTGTTTTTTCTTTGTAGTTACAGCCGGCAAATGTGGTAGAAAAAATGTATTGGGCACAATGACTTGTGTGTAGTATTATCTCTGTATTAACAGTTTTGTAAAACTTAAACAATGGTTACACATGCTAAGCCAATTAATATCAAAGCCTATTATGCATTACCTTAGTTATGAACTGGTACCCTTTTAGTACTTTAAGAGGGAACCTTAAAGAACAAATTGCTAACTATAAGGTAAAATCTAAGCCATCTAGGACATAAGCAGCAGCAGATAAGTTTTTCCAAGTCAGAATACAATATTCTACTGTACTATACATTTAGTACATTTGTTTATTCTACCATGTTTTCATGTATGTATTCATAAGAGAAATTTTTTTTACAGTTAAAATTGTGCTTTACGGTTGTTATGGAATGGATTTACATAACAGTATATTAGAGAAATGATGAGCTCCACTTCATTGGTCCGTGTTTCTGAAACTAATGATATTAATGGAAGTTCTGATTAATAATATATTAAGTAAATATATTTTACAAAATAATTATGAATTTGTTTCCAATTCAGTAGCTTCTGTATGTCTCTAAAAAACTTTTCTGATTTCAGGTCATCAGACTAGTGCTGAATCATGGGGAACTGGTCGGGCTGTGGCTCGTATTCCTCGTGTCCGCGGGGGCGGAACTCACCGTTCTGGCCAGGGTGCCTTCGGAAATGTATCCTTTTCTTTCAGTTATGAGTTCTTAAGATATTTTGCATCTTTACCCATTAAATTATCTAAATCTACAATATTAAACTTTTAATTTGCCGTGATGTTGTAATTTGCGTCCTACTCTGCATCATGCGACAGTTGCCTGCTGTCATTATGCTGGTGTGGATGGCTGTTGAAAAACTTGAATACTGAGCAAGTGACTGATGAGTTTGGTATTTAGAACAAAATCTGACTGTTTTCAAAGCCAATGTTAATTCTTTAACATCAAATGAAGATGTGTCGTGGAGGGCGTATGTTTGCACCAACCAAGACCTGGAGAAGATGGCATCGCAGAGTTAATATTACTCAGAAGCGTTATGCCATTTGCTCTGCTCTTGCAGCTTCAGCCATCCCTGCCCTTGTTATGTCTAAAGGTAAGTGAAAATGTGTAATAGTTTTTTTATTTAAATGGATTGTTTTACCTATGGAAAAGCATGTGATGAGTTCCACTTCAGGTCCGTGTTTCTGAACCACATGATCTTAATGGAAGTTCTGATTTGCTGAATATCTGGATGTTTAAATTTTGTTTTGTAGACTATATATTTAAATTTATTTGCAATGCAGCGGTTTCATGTAATAAAAGATATAATAATTCTATTGTGCTTGTAAAATTGAGATAACTACATGAAAGTCTCATACTCTTGCAGTATGGTTTGCATGGATGGGTAAGATTTACACTTTTGTCCATTTCTCAAGTAACTTATTAGGAGACTCACTATTTTAAGCATGCAGGTTACTGCCTGAGTGAAAGAATGCTAAGAGATAGGAGGGTTTCAACTAAAGCTACCCTCCATATTTTTATTTTCCGGTCTTGACCACCAAAGTGTAAGTCTGTAAAGGTTTGGCTTATCTTTTGCAACTCTTGTTAATTTACTGACCTGTAAATAAACACTTGAGTAGCTTATATTAAATGTGACGTGTGTTTAACCCCCTAAGGACACGTGACATGTCATAATTCCCTTTTATTCCAGAAGTTTGGTTCTTAAGGGGTTAAAGTGGCTAAGGCTGTAACCACTATTACATGCTAGTAGTGGTTATGCAGCAAGGAGTCTCTTGGCGCCATCCCATGGTAATTTAAAACCGCTCTTTTATGATTAAACACTGCCTGGGCTTCTCAGTCATCCACAGCCTGGACCTTCATTATAAGCTCTGCTAAAGCCATTTCTGCATTGGCATTGGTCTCATACAAAACTGATCATAATTCATAAGTAGCAACTTCTAAGTGTGTATAGCGCTTTGCGTTTCCCTTAAAAGTGCTCCATCTGATGTAAAGCTGCAGCTTGGTCAAACTAAATAGTTATAAATCTGCTTTCTGCATTACATTAGGTGTTTCACATTTTGTATTTATGTGGAAAGCATTGCCAATACATCTAAACTTGAGCAGTAGTTTTCCATTATTTGCTACTAAAGATGTGTGAAACGTAGAACTTATCTGGCTTTTAGTTTTTTGCCACTTAAAGCTAGCATGTCTGGTTTCTTCTGCTACACTTTAAGGTCACCGCATTGAGGAGATCCCAGAGGTGCCCCTTGTTGTTGAAGACAAAGTTGAAAACTACAAAAAGACAAAGGAGGCAGTGCTCCTTCTAAAGAAAATAAAGGCATGGAATGACATCAAGAAGGTAACTGAGAATTCATTTTTATTCTTACTGTAACTGAATCTTTGAGGTTTTTCACCATTGTTTTCTGTTTTATTGAAACAGTTGATTATGTGGAGGTAATTTCATTTTGTAAACTTCTTTCGCTGCTTGCAATGATGTCGTAATTTGCGTCCTACCTAACATTATGCGACAGTTGCCTGCTGTCATTATGCTGGTGTGAATGTGTGACGAAAATATTTAACTGAGCAGCACAACATATGTATAAACGGTAATCAACTTTGTATTGAATACCTAAAATTATTGACTTTGCATATAATGCATGCTATTGTTTTCAGGTGTATGCATCCCAGCGAATGCGTGCTGGTAAGGGTAAGATGAGGAACAGACGCCGCATCCAGCGCAGAGGGCCCTGCGTTATCTATAACGAAGACAATGGCATTATTAAAGCCTTCAGAAACATCCCAGGTACTGAGAAGCTTCATATTGTATGTGATCTCACCTTCACTTCAACTCCATTGCTACCTAGTAACTTTTGATTACAAATTTTTTAGCATAAAATTTATTTATAATTTATGGGATGCGTAGCTAGCATATCAATCATAACCAATTTTGTGTATAGATTGTTTTGTAGACAAACTTAGTTTTATATACATTTACACAATTTTTGTCTTTCACATTAGTTCATCCTTTATAAAAAAAAATACTTGAAGTGAAAAACTTTGAACAATAGTGCCCTTTTTATCTTGCAATATTTCAAACATGGTCTGAAATGTTGACATAAAAGGAAAACCGCAATTTTTCTAACAATAGATGTGACAAGTAATTGAATAATAACTTACAGGTTTTGTCAAGAAAATGTAAAGTCTGCATGTGAGCATAAAACACTAAATACAATTAATACATTTCTAAAATAAAGATATTTAAAATGGCAACCTTACCGTATATACTAGAGTATAAGTTGACCCGAATATAAGTAGAGACCCCTAATTTTACCCCCCAAAATTGGGAAAAGTTACTTACTCGAGTATAAGACTAGGGTGGGAAATGCAGCAGCTACTGGTAAATGTCTAAACACTATATCCCAAAAATTATGTTGTGAGTGCGATGCAGAGCCTTGGTGGGGGTGGGCATTTTTATTTATTTAAATTATTTTTATATTATATATGTATATATTTTTTTTTTTTTCCTGTTCCCCTGAGGGTGTGGCTTTATGGGCTAGATTTCAGATTTTATATTCATTAAAATATGTACTCTATTTGGGTATTAAGTATGTAAGGAATGATGTGATCATAAACTTCATTGGTCCGTGTTTCTGAAATCCGTGATCTCTGTGGAAGTTCTGACCTTACTAGTGCTAAGAATTTAACAAAACTCCTGCTTTTTTGAGGGTGAAATATTAAAACTGGGCACCTGATTCCATGAACCTATAATATTTTGTCTATTTGGTTTAGTCTGCCTAATGCAACCTGATTTCAGTATCATTATTGCTTTGTAGGGATCACTCTCCTCAACGTAAGCAAACTGAATGTCTTGCGGTTGGCTCCTGGTGGCCATGTTGGAAGATTCTGCATCTGGACAGAAAGTGCTTTCCGCAAGCTGGATGATCTGTATGGCACGTGGCGCAAGGCAGCTGTTCTAAAGGCTGATTACAAGTAAATGACTTACTCTGTAGACCTATCCTTTGACTCTCATGCAGGTTTAAAGGACCACTCTAGGCACCCAGACCACTTCAGCTTAATGAAGTGGTCTGGGTGCCAGGTCCCTCTAGGATTAATTAATTTTTTTTTTTATTTTTTTTTTAAACATAGCAGTTTCAGAGAATGGGTTAATCCAGCCTCTAGTGGCTCTCATTGACAGTGAGAGGACGCTAGCGTCCATAGGAAAGCATTATGAATGCTTTCATATGAGACTGGCTGCACACGCAGCTCCTGTCGTGCATGCGCATTCAGCCGAGGAGAGCTCCCCGCCCGGCGCTGGAAAAAGTAAGTTTAACCCCTTTCCTTGCCATCCAGCCTGGCGGGAGGGGGTCCCTGAGGGTGGGGGCACCATCAGGGCACTATAGTTCCAGAAAAACAAGTGTTTTCCAGGCACTATAGTGGTCCATTAAAGTGTGTACATAGCCAACTTTTAGTATGGCAGCAGTACAAAAATTGTTTGTCAAATTTACTGTTTGCAGGAGATGAATCTCAATTGATTTTACTGGGGAACGTTAATGCTTTCATCTTCAAGCTAAGCAATTGGACACTATGATGGGTGCTGGGCAGTTGGTCTCACCAACTATGACATCTCAATATGTCTTACTCCTAACAATACCCTTTTTTTAATTCATTTTTTCTATTTGTATGAAGAAACTATTTTACATTTGATAGAGGTAAAAAGAACAATCTACATAAGACTGGATTAGAAGTATTAACAATAGGTTTCATTTGACAGTTTACAATTAAAGGATCACTATAGTGTCAGGAAAACAAACCCATGTTCCTGACACTTTACAATCCTAAGGGTCTCCTCTCCCGCTGGGCTGAAGCAGTTAAAACCCCTTAATCCAGTGCCCGACTCACTCGGCGCTGGTGACCTCTTCTCCCCCGCCGGTGTCCGCTCCCGAGTGGAGCCGAATGTGCGGCAACAGCCGCGCGCATTCAAACAGTCCATGGGAAAGCATTTCTCAATGCTTTCCTATGGACGTTCTGCACACTGAATGCAATTTTCACCTCTAGCAGCTGTCAGGAAGACAGCCACTAGAGGCTGGATTAACCTTGCAATGTTAACATCTGAAGGGTTAGAACCTGAGGGACCTGGCACCCAGACCACTTCATTGAGCTGAAGTGGTCTGGCTGACTATAGTGTCCCTTTAAGGGGGCAGTTAACATGAGCGAATCTAGGAGGGAGGGAGAGGTGGAAGAGAATACCTCTAGAAAGGCAATGATTTCATTTTGCCTAGTTTTGGTCTAGATTTGGAATCCATTCAAATCAATTAGAAATCAGGGTGGCTTTTGTAATTTTTTTTTTTCTTGCTGCACTTTAGTTCTGCTTGTCTTCACTATTGAAACAATGTATTTTATAATTCGTGAACGGGTTGGTCTGACTCTTAAGCATGATGATTTCCACTTCTGGTCCGTGTTTCTGAAATTTAGTGATTATAGTGGAAGTTCTGACTTTCATCTGAAAGATGAGTAATGCTGACCTAACGTACTTTTTGTTTTGATTGGAATTTTTGGCACCAAACTGTTACCTGTTCACACGTATTCATTTTTATTTTACTTTATCTAGCCTCCCTATGCACAAAATGACAAACACAGATCTGAGCAGAATCCTGAAGAGCCAAGAAATTCAGAAATCTCTACGTGCTCCAATGTAAGTCATGCACCGCTGTGGTGGGAAGTTTGTTGGGATGGGGTTGAAACTGGCAAGACACAACACAGGTCCTTTAATGGCTACTGGCTGATTATTGACCCGTTATTGCATTCATAGCCAAACCTTTTTGTCATTATGTGTATTTGTCCTGCGTTAGTTGTTGTCTGTGTGTTTTTTTTTTTTTATCCGAATAAATTAGTAGTTTGGTAGTATAACTAATTTTGATTGGACAGTGGCTTGCAGTGATTGTTTGAGAAATGCCATTCCTAATGATGAGTTCCACTTCACTGGTCCGTGTTTCTGAAACTTTGTGACATGAATGGAAGTTCTGATAGACAAAAAGCAAATACAAACATTGTAAAACAAAACTACAATATAGGATGATCTTTGATCACTTTTTTCTTTCTTTTTTTATAGCAAAAGGGTGAAGCGCAGGGAACTCAAGAAGAACCCACTGAAGAATTTGAGAATCATGATGAGACTGAACCCATATGCCAAAACAGCAAAACGCAATGCTATTCTACGCCAGGCTGCAAATGTAAGCATCTAAGTGTTACTTTCCATTCTGAACACTGAAGTAGTTTCCTTTTTTCATTTTTCTAACCCTTATCTGTTAGGGTTACAGCTAAACTTGTGAAATGTCTTATAGCATCTGACTTTATTTTTGTTTTGTTTTTTTTTAAGAGAAATTCTATTTTTTTTTATTTTTTTTGGCCCCTGAAATCTTCCTGTCTTTGCCCTTAGATATGTGTACTATTTGTGTATCCACTAGTCTTGTATCCCAGCATGGTTGTTGAGATCTCAAACTAAATTTACTGCAGCAAAGTTGTTAGCCCACTTGATTTTAGTTTAAGGCCCCTCATGTAAGGTATATTAACAGGAGCACTTTCTGTTTAAACGAATTGTATAAATCCATACAAATTGTGCCGCCTTCACTTTTTTTTTCAGATAAAGGCAAAGGAGACAAAAACTGTAAAAAAGGTGGTGAGGAAGAGGCAGATCAAAAAGAAGCCTGTGAAGGAGGAGGTGGCTGCCAAGTAATCCTGTGGATTCATTAGAGTTCAACTGGCAGCATGCTGTATTAACTCCTAATAAATTCTGCTTAAAATATGTACCACCTGTATTGATTTTTTTTTTTGATTTTTTTTTTCTGTCTGCTACTCTTCATAAGAAAATGTGACACATACCTTGGAAGTGTTTACCTCCAGTTAGCTAGGGACCAAGTATTTACCATCAGATTCCCTCTGGTTTTACATATTGGACATAACCCTCTGTTCCGTAGCAGTTCTTAAGTCATTAAACACCACCTCAGATGGACCGCACATGAGTGTCATTTCCCTAATTGAAAAAATAAATCTGTTTTGAGGTATGGATAAAGTTACAGCATATCATTTTACAGTAGCTAGTCAATTTTTATTTTTTTACTTTTTTATAAGCTAGACAAACATGAGTGCCTATGGTACACATTTAAGTGAGCATGTCTAGAGAGATTAATTGAATAATAGTAACTGCAAGCTAGGTTTCAAGAGGAAGAAATATACCACTGATAAAATGTCAGGTAGAAAACTTGCTGGGTTATCAGGAGTTTGTTCAGTCATGGTTATGTAGCTTGCAAATGAGACCATTTCTATTTGGAGGGTAATTTATAAGACACTATATATTTCAAAGGAGTGTCACATTAATGTAAACAAACTAAAAGAGCTAACTCAAATGAATTTTCAACAGTGACTCTAATAGTGGAATATGAATTGAGTCATCAAACCAGCTGCAGTCAGCCAATGCCTATACATAGCAGAGATAGAGGGTACTGCAGCAATGCAGACGGGACAAGGACCTCCTCCAGTCCCAGGCCTGTGTAGAGCGTGGCATCTGCAGATAACAGACTAGTGCGGAGTTTGAGGCATTCCCATGTCTTGCGCAGCGGAAGGCACAGGTAATCAGTCGCCTGCAGCAGGCGATCACTCAGCAGGGTGGTTGATGCTGTGGTGGAAATCTCATGACCCTTAGTGTAGGTAGGCCACCTGCATGAGTGGCTTGCGAAGGAGTAGGTGCTTTGCCCATCTTAATATGATTTACCTTATTTTAAGACCTGCTAGGGAACAGGCACATTCATGACATAGAACCATAGAATTCAGATGGTGCATTTTCTTTCCCATGACTGTTTGATTTCTAATACTGGTACTACTGCATGGTGCCAGTCTGTCAAGTAGTGCCTTAGTGTGTGAAAAGGACTGGCATCTCTTGATTGCCATGGGGGCAAAACAAGAATTAAGTGTGAACTAGTAGGTGGTGAAGCCTAGTTATGTTGCAGATGCAAGTGAACAGAAGACAGTTGATTAAAAATTACTTAATAGCTACAAGCCTTTATATTTGATTTGCTAGATCCCATTGTACAGTGCTGTGGAAATTGTTGGTGCTTTATAAATAAGGTATATTAGATTTATTCCTTGACAGATCTTTACCTTTAGATTTTTTTTTTTTTTTTTCTGTATACATGGAGGCAGTACAAAACATTCAGTCTACTTTTCTAAGGACAGGGCGAGCATTGAAAGCTAAGCTTTTAACCCCTTAAGGACCACACTTCTGGAATAAAAGGGAATCATGACATGTCACATGTCGTGTCCTTAAGGGGTTAAAAGTTAAAACCTTCCACCTGTTCCTGTCCTATCCACTGAGGATCTATATCATACACCTATATTCTGCCTTGCACTATTTGTATACCGAATATGTCTAGAGTATGCCAAACTTATGGCACATTGTGCAAAATAATGAACTATAAAATCTGGCACCCTAACTCCCATGCATTGTAAGAGGGAATTTCGCATTCAAAATCCTTTTCCACCACGATAATAATCTGGACTCCGACTTGGTTCTGTGCAATGGTTTCCAACCCTTCTTCACTTGTGTATCTCGTGGTAGCTCATTTGCATAGGTTTGTGTACCCCTTTATATTAGTGAAATGTTTGTAATTAAAGTAGTTGCCATTATTTCAAACTTATGTTTTTTTTGTGCTGCAGGTGTTTGTGTGTCTGTGTATAATACAATTCATTTTTAAAAACATTTTTTACACATGCAGTGGGAGCCTATATAGTGTAGCTCATGGGTCCTCAAACTCTGGCCCCCCAGATGTTGCTGAACTACAACTCCCATGATTCTCTGGCTATCTATGTAATTCAAAGAATCATGGGAGTTGTAGTTCAGCAACATTTGGGGGGCTGGAGTTTGAGGACCCATGGTGTAGATACATACATGCAGACACGGATACAACCACTGACAACACTGAAATTCATGCAGCTGCACTGGCACACATACGGTTACAGACATGCATGTAAATATAGACAATGATACACATGGAAATAGACACACAAAAACACTTCCCAAATGTAAAGATTTTTTTTTTTTAATCTGGCCTGAGACAAATGTTTACAAAAATGGCACCAAACCAGGACTAACATCTATGCATGTCACCAGTGCTATATTATTTAAAGGGCTTAGAGTCACCAAAACAACTTAAGCTTAATAAAGCAGTATTGGTGTGTATAGTTCATGCCTCTGAAGTTTCACTCTTCAATTATCTGCCATTTAGGAGTTCACTTTTGTTTCTATTTTTGCAGCCCTAGTCACGCCTCTCCTGACACAACCTACATAAAAACTAAATGGGTTTTCAATTAGTGATCTCCCACTCTGTAAATTGAGCTTTAATTACATACAGAAGGCTGCTGCAGGGTCTAACAAGCTATTAACAGTGTAGAAAGAAATTCTAAATTAAACAATTTGCCATAAAATAAGTGTAAATGCTAGAGTACTCTTTACAACAAGCAAGACAAACTCGCGGCCTGGCGAGCCACGAGTATATGCTTAGTGTTCCAAGCACAGTAGGCACCTGCTTTCTCCACATTTCAGGTGCCTACTTTGCTAACATTTACCCGGCTGGGGAGGAGAGGAGAGGAAGGTGGATGCAGCGAGGGAGCTCAGCGTTCCTGCTATTCACTGCTCATTCGTGCCCTCTGTAGTGATGCTGGACATCACTAAACTGCGTGCGAGGGAGCAGTGAGGAGCAGGAAGGCTGAGCTCCAGATTAGTCCCCACTGGACCCCAGGGATAAATACAATAATGTGAGTGTGTGTTGATCAGTGTTGCGATGGTCGTGGCTGGACAGTGGAGGTTCACGGAGGCACGCAGCGCCACGTCACATTCCAACGTGACAATGTGATACACATTCACAGGGTTTCAAGAAGTAGTGTGAGGATCTTCTTTGGCACACGGTGTGGACGGCGCCATTTGGGGTATACCATAGGCCAGATCTATAAAACAAAACTGCTTCATTAAGTTCGTTATTTTGGTAATTATAGTGTCCCTTTAAAATCAGAAAAAAAAGTGTGCTGTGCCTTTAAATCATGAATTCAATTTTGTATAATCAATTTACAAATAAAGTGCTTAAACAACAGCAAAAAGTGCCTTTGCAATACTGTGCAAACACATTAACTAGTGTTTATATTAAGTGCAAAACCAATATGTGCAAACACGCAAAATTATTTTTAAAGTGCTTATTGTGTCAGTGCACTCCAAATAAAAAAAAAAAATAGGGGGGGGAAATATTATACTTGCAATTTGCAGAGTTCAACATGAAAGAGAGAAAAACATAAAAAACACGTCATAATATCGTCTGGATAATAGTATTTTAGAACCAGATATGTTTTAAACACTCACAAACATGGAGCAGGTACAAGACTGCTCAGGCTATATGCGCTCTCAATATATCTCCTCCCTTGTTTGTAGGGAAACGATGGATAGCCGAGATCAAATATAAACAAACTTTATTTTCATAAAAGCAGAGAAACACGTCTTAAAGATCTCCATCTCACCAATACCCTAAGGAGCTTTAAACAGTCCCCGGTAGTCTCAATTGCCGGCACTCCTGGATTCCTAGGCTACAATGTTCATATTAGTGGGCAGAGTCTGACTACGTCTTCAATGTAATGTAATTGCGTTCCTACGCTTAGCATGATGACGCATTTCGCCACTCCTGGCTTCCTCAGATCACTTCTCTCGGTGTTTATCCATCAGTATTTAAATGTCTTGTGGGCGTGTTTTAGTCCGAAATTTTGTATTCCAAGCTTTCAATTGGTTACCTCATTCAAAACCTTCTCGTGCATATTTATGCACAACACAGCCCACTTATTAAGAAATACAATTAGTCCATATTAATTTAAAAATAAACAAAACAATCCACAAGATGCTAAAAAAGTGATCAGACATATCTTTCATAATTATTTACATACATATTTATCAACTAAAAATAAGAAAATCTTTTATCATACATATAGAAGAAATTACTTAGACCATGGGTCGTCAACCTGGTCCCTACCGCCCACTAGTGGGCATTTCAGGATTCCAGGTGGGCGGTAGGGATTTCCTAGTTTTGAGAGACTGGGCAGGCGGGTGCAAGCCAGCGGTACCCTGCGACTGGGTATCGCCGTCACCATTTGCGGCCCCGGGCCGCACGGCAAAGCGCCAAGGCCACTGTCTAAGGGGTCCATCGGGTGGCCCATGCTGTCAGGGCCACCCAATGGATGTGGATTGTAAGGGGGCCCGGTCAGCGCCCGGCGCTTTAGCAGCGCGATTACATCACAGAGCTGGGAGGAAGTGACTGCAAGTCACTCCTCCCAGCTAACATACAGACCGCACGTGCGGAAACAGAGGGAGTCAGAGTGGGAACTCTGACTCCCATCCACCTGAGCCACCACTGGACCCCAGGGAATGTCACCCTCCTGCACCTAAAAGGTAGGAAACAGGAGGGTGACTAAAATATTTTGTGTGTGTTTGTGTGTATGTGTCTTTGTATGTATGTCTTGTGTGTGTCTGTCTGTATGTGTGTGTATGTGTCTTTGTGTCTTTGTATGTATGTATGTATGTATGTGTGTCTGTGTATATATGTGTGTGTGTATGTGTTCCTGTCTGTTTGTATGTATGTGTCTTTGTATGTATGTGTTGTGTGTGTTTGTCTTTGTATGTATGTGTCTTTGTATGTGTGTGTGTCTGTATGTGTGCCTGTCTGTTTGTATGTATGTGTCTTGTGTGTGTGTCTGTATGTGTTCCTGTCTGTTTGTATGTATGTGTCTTTGTATATATATGTGTGTGTGTGTGTCTGTATGTATGTATGTATGTGTGTGTGCCTGTCTGTTATAGTGGGCTATAGTAAGTGGGCTACCTAGCTCAGCCTTCCTACTGGGCATTGCTATAAGGAAGGTTAAAAAATAGAAAAAAGGGGAAGAAAAAGGTGGGGAGGAAAATTGAGGAGGGAGAGGAGATGAGCTGACGCACAGATGAGAAATCATATTATGCGCAAACAGAGAAGTCGTCTGAATATCACCGAAAGAGAAGACCTTTGTTCGTTCCTTATGAAAATCATACCAGATATAAAATATTTAGTCTCGCAGCATCAACCTCAAGGATCTCATTAATCACTAGTAAAGGTAATTTCAATTTACTTTATTGTTTTCTCATTGAACTTTATAAAGTTAAAAACATTATAAACATGCATTAAGTAGAAATAAAAAGATAAATGTACGTACATTTATTTTTTTTAAAACACCCTCCTTTCTAAAAAATATTCTGCACTTGCGCGAAAACTGGTGGGCGGTAAGGAAATGTTTCCATCAAGAAAGATGCATTAGTGGGCGGTAGGTAAAAAAAGGTTGACTACTACTGACTTAGGTAAACAATATATATACCTTCACTGTTGCATAAACTCTTATTATTAAAGGGACACTATAGTCACTAAAACAACTTTAGCTTAATGAAGCAGTTTTGGTGTATAGATCATGTCCCTGCAGTCTCACTGCTCAATTCTATGCCATTTAGGAGTTAAATCACTTTGTTTATGAACCCTAGTCACACCTCCATACATGTGACTTTCACAGCCTTCCTAAACACTTCCTGTAAAGAGTAATCTAATGTTTATCCTTCCTTTATTGCAGGTTCTGTTTAACTTAGATTTTCTTATCCTCTGCTATGTTAATAGCTTGCTAGATCCTGCAATAGCCTCCTGTATGTGATTAAAGTTCAATTTACAGAAAAAGAGATACAATTGTTTAAGGTAAATTATATCTGATTGAAAGTGAAACCAGTTTTTTTTTCTCTGTGGCTGTGTCAGTCAAAGCCAGGGGAGGTGTGACAAGGGCTGCATAACATAAACAATGTGATTTAACGACTAAATGGCAGTGAATTGAGCAGTAAAACCTGATAGGCATGATCTGTACACTAAAACTGCTTCATTAAGCTAAAGTTCTTTAGGTGACGATAGTGTTCCTTTAATACAAAAAAAACTTTCAATAGGTTAAAACATAACTAGGGGAATAATAAAGGAGATGGTTAATACAGGATAATATCTATTCGGAAAATTATTATTTAAAATTATTATGTTTAAAATTATTATTAAATATATATATATATAATTTTTTTATTTTACTATAAGAAATTAAAACGGTCAAACTCTACATTGAGTCCATATAGTAATAAGGTATTTAATCTATACACCTACTTCATTTCTTCCTTTCCTATTTCTTGGATATGGTTATCCCCCCTTCAAGTTTTTTTCACATTCTGTATACCTAGGAAAATTAAACCCCTTTGATTCACATTGTGGCATTTTAAAAAATGTGCTGAGACACTATGTTGTTCGTAGCCTTTCTTAATATTATTAACGTGCTCAGTTATCCTCTTATGTAATGGCCGTATAGTCCGTCCAATATATTGCAATACAATACAAGGGGATACCTGTCTGACGAAAGTAACCTCGCCACGGGCTCTTGGAGGGTCCTGCTGGCCAGTCTCTTGCCAAAAGACTGTGGGCCCTTTAAAAACTTATGTGATTTATGTTTTTTTGTACTCCAGTAAGAGAAACCGACTGTTAGCCCTTATTCACTAGATCTGTTTTGGGCATAGGACCTACATGCTTATTAACTCTTAATAGGGAACATATGGGATGGGCAGCAGCATTGTAATCTAGCTGTGTTGGTTTTTACTATATGTATTTTGGCTGATGTGTACTATGGTCGTTGCTGCCGCCCAGGAGGAATGGGAGTTTGAGCGCATGACTTGTATTTGTATTCACTTTTGTATCACACAACTAGGTTACAATGCTGCTGTCCATCCCATGTGTTCCCTATTAAGGGTTAATAATCATATAGGGATGTATATAAAAATACCCTTCATTAGAGATATTTTTGCCAGAAGCTCAAGGAAGCAAGGTGAATGGTTAGTGTAGGACCCACCTAAGAGGTCTGCCTTGATGTGGCAGGTGGGCATACCCTTTCATGGCTATTGGAGGTAACTAAAAACCTCCATTTGTTTAAAAATACATAGGGATGTGGAAAGAGCACAGGTAACTTTTTTTTCTTTGAACTTGCATATAAGGCCAGTTGTGGCTACCAATAAATCAGTTCCTCTTCACCCTCAACATAGAGCCTCGTCTCATGTGTGGAGGGGACAGCTATAATCACTATACTTCCTTGGATTACAACACTTGCTCTTGTAAGAGCAGCCTGCTTTACTCTCTGGACTAGGAAAGGTATACCCACTGGAAGCTGGATCCTGGTCTTGGGTCCAACCAAGCTTTAACGCTGGCTATGGGGTTTATGGTGGTTATGGTGCTCGCAATTACTAGGAAGCAGCGATTGGCGGAGGCACCCAGTCAGGGTGCCAGGCAGTCCGTCACACTGTCATTGTAACCTCTTTTCTTACGTTTTCACATACATTTCTTAGTTACTTTAATAATATGCCAAATTATACTGTCAGTGTTTAATTTTTAAACTACAAACTAGATTTTATGTGTTTTTTTTAAACAAATATTTTTGTCGATGATACAATATAGCAAACGAAATATGGCATAGCAATGAAATAGAACAAAAAAAGAAGGAAACTAACATACTGTATGCCTTTAAAAGTACACCAATTTAATAAATATGTAACACAAATTCTTGCAAATAACAGAAAAAGAGCCCCAGCAGTAGAGTCATGCAAGCTATAGCTAATATGCCAACAGATCTAGGAGGAAAGTTATTGTTTGAGCATAAAGTATGCACTTGGCTTTTCATAATACCATCTAGGCAATTAAAAGACTTCTGACCAAAGTGCTAGTGGGGGGAGAGGATAATATTGCAAAGAAGATGTAATCATATTAATGTACTGGTACAGACGCCCTCAAGACCACTAGATGTGGTATCACATTAATAATTAAAAGTTAACAATATGAATTATTTAAAAAAGAGAAATAAAACGACAAAAACAAAGTATATACAATTTTCTCATTAAGTCCTTTTCCCCCTTTGGGGACAAAGGGAACGACTCTGTGAAGTATGGTTGGGGGTAGGCCTGGCCAACTCTTGTGTGGACACCTCGAGATCCAGGACAGCAAGGAAAGTAGAGGCTTCCCCTAGAGCAGACATTCTGAATGCAGTCCCATCTTTGGTGAGAAAAGAATGGTTTTCACAGATATTTTGCTATCAATATCATTTGTCTCAGGCCAGATAAAGCTTTTTCCTATAGCGGAATGTCCAATTAGTAAAAAGGCAAGCTAAATCCAAGTGACCCAAGATTGTTTTCATAGAGGAGAAGCGTGCCTACTTATTCATATTTTCCTACTGAAAGGCCAAGTGTGATGCCATATTTTGCTAACAATATAATTTCGCTCAAGTCACAATGAACACTTTCCAATTAGTAAAAAAAAGAAAAAACCAGACCTGGGTGGGCAAATGTGGCTTTCATAGAGGTTAAACATGTCTACTTAATCAGATTTTTTTATTGAAATACCTGGATGTTAAGAAGCCCGGTTTGCTGCCATATTTTGCGATTAATGTCATTTTGCTCAGGCCACATGGAACTTTTTCATGTAGAACTATGCCAAACTAGTAATAAACAACGCAAATTTGGGTGAGCTAAGGTAGTTTTCATACGGAAAACACGTTTTTTTAAAAGTTCCCTTTGAAATGCATGGATGTTAGGGTACCAGGCTTTATGACATTTTTTGTGATCAATCTAATTTGGTTCAGGACAGATTGAAATATTTCATTAGTGAGATGCCCAATAAGGAAAAAAACAAAAAATAAAAGAAGGTAAACGTAGGTGTGCCACAACCATTTTCACTGAGAGAACGTTTGTTTACCTATTCAGAATTTTCCATTATATCCACAGATATAGGTTTTAAGATGGTTTTGTGATTTCATGAAATATTATCTGGATGAATAAGTATTGCCTTTGACTAAGAAGCAAACTCCAGCATCATGGTGCCAGTCATATATTTATTGAAAATGATCTGTTTGGTGCCATCGCACAGGAGCCCAATATCTTGACAGGTCCTGTCGGCAGGAACCACGTTATATCTGTGGCAGCCTTAATGTCACATTAAATGTCTAATTGATGCAACCATGAAACTACTACCACAGGAGAGATGGATTCGAACTCTCAACACTGCACATCGCATGCAAAGACACAACCTACTGAGCCACAACCCTACTGCAGGCAGGGTCCCTGGAAAGCAATCCATATATATCAACTCAAACAGATCTGTCAGACTTCACACTGTCAACAGATCACCGCTGTTATGAACAAATATAAATAAAGATAGGAGTTTCTATATACGCTCTCGGTTGGTTAATTTGACCACACTGCCCACAGTAAACATGGCCGCCGGCGCTTCACGCGGAGGGAGTGGAGCGGCTGTCAGGGTGGCGCAGCGTGATGACGCGCAGGGTCGCACAGACAGGAATCCTGTGCTGAGTTCATTGGGTTCCTACGTGATGAGGCGCTCGCGGCGGTGACCCGATACCCCGGGGGCAGGATGCTCAGCCGCCTGCAGGAGCTGAAGAAGGAGGAGGAAACTCTGCTCAAAATCAAAGCGTCCTTACACGACCAGCTCAACAGGTTAAAGGTCAGAGTGCGCGGGGGCAGGGGGTTAAAGGTCACCTTAACATGTAATGTTATCAGCCAGGTTCATATAGTGACAGTGTGAGATCTGACTGTCTGTTAATAGCACACAGCCTGCTGTACATACTACACACACAGAGTAATAATAATAATAATAATATCAACACACAGAGTAATAATAATAATATCAACACACAGAGTGATAATAATAATATCAACACACAGAGTAATAATAATAATAACACACAGAGTAATAATAATAATAACACACAGAGTAATAATAATAATATCAACACACAGAGTAATAATAATAATAATAATATCAACACACAGAGTGATAATAATATCTACACACAGAGTAATAATAATAATATCAACACACAGAGTAATAATAATATCAACACACAGAGTAATAATAATATCAACACAGAGTGATAATATCATCACACAGAGTGATAATAATAATATCTACACACAGAGTAATAATAATAATATCTACACACAGAGTAATAATAATAATATCTACACACAGAGTGATAATAATAATATCTACACACAGAGTAATAATAATACTATCAACACACAGAGTAATAATAATAATAATATCAACACAGAGTGATAATATCATCACACAGAGTGATAATAATAATATCTACACACAGAGTAATAATAATAATATCAACACACAGAGTGATAATATCTACACACAGTAATAATAATATCAACACACAGAGTAATAATAATAATATCAACACACAGAGTGATAATAATATCAACACAGAGTGATATCATCACACAGAGTGATAATAATAATATCAACACACAGAGTAATAATAATAATATCAACACACAGAGTGATAATAATAATATCAATACACAGAGTAATAATATCAACACACAGAGTGATAGTAATAATATCAACACACAGAGTGATAATAATAATATCAATACACAGAGTAATAATATCAACACACAGGGTAATAATATCATCACACAGGGTAATAATATCATCGCACAGAGTAATAATATCATCGCACAGAGTAATAATATCAACACACAGATTAATAATAATAATATCAACACACAGAGTAATAATATCAACACACAGAGTAATAATATCTACACACAGAGTAATAATATCTACACACTGGGTAATAATATCTACACATTGGGTAATAATATCAACACACAGGGTGATAATATCTACACACAGGGTGATAATATCTACACACAGGGTGATAATATCTACACACAGAGTGATATCTACAGAGGGTAATATCTCCACACAGTTATTGTGTATAAAATATCCCTTACATGCAGTGTTTTACACAATAATGGGTTATTGTCCACCAGGAAATTAACAAGTACCCTTATACCCTTATGTTTACCTGGAGTCCACAGGCTGTATAGAAAGACAACACTTGTCCCTCAAAGTACTTTCTTAGGACTGGTGTGTGTGTAGTCATGCTTCCCGACTGAACCTATTTAGGAGGGACAGTCTCTATTTTGAACCCAATTCCCATTGACCCTACTTTTCTATCCTAATGTTTATGTACATAATATACATACTTTCTGTTTTAAATTACATGTAGTCACATAAATTATTTGTAAGTCACCTAAAATTTTGCCTAATATGCCTAACCCGTCCTTGCCCACACCACCACTCACACTTGTTAAAATTAAAATGTCCATTTGAAACATTGGGAGGTATAATAGCATATGGGTGTTTGATATATACAAACAATTTCTCCATTAGTACACCGTATTAGTATTCCTTTATTTGTGTATCTGTATAGCAGTGTTAAGTGTTCAGCATTGTAGTGCTCTATACTTCCTAAAAATAATCTCAGAGAGATAGTTTGCCCCCAAGTTATACATGGATCCAATTTAATGAAAAACCTTGTAATTCTGATATGAACTTCATGGACAGTAAGTAGGGAGTATTATATTGCGTGGTTACAAAAATAAGGGTTATCTCCTCTCACACTTTTCTAATTCTGATACTTAATCTGATAGGTTGAAGAACTGGCTCTCCAGTCCATGATAAATGCACGAGGCGATGAGGATATACAAGCTCCCCATGAGGAAGCTGAAGAGGTAAGTGGACTCTGAATTTCACAAAATTAAATTTACAATGCCCCCTTTCTAAAAAAAAGTTCTGATTGCAGTCCTTTTTCCCTGATCATTGTTGGAGGACATCAATGAAACAGAATCGTGAGATAACACTTCAGCCTTCATGATTCTTGTAGTTACTTTTATATATGATAAGTCAGTGACATACCAGAGGTGTAATTAGCCTCCCGAAAGTTGCATTTGGTTCTGTAACTTTAGGTGTATTTAACCCCGCCTACTATCAGGCCGGCAGATTATGTCAGCATCAATTTATTTTATATGGCAATGTATACATAATTTGTGTAGTTAAAGTATATACCTGGTTACATATGTCTGTTAGGAAAATTATTACAACTTCTCACCAACATAAGTATGTCTAAGGACCAACATCTCCAAAAAGGCAAGAGGAAGGCTAAATAATCCCTTTACCAAGTAGGACGGTGAGTGGTGCCAGCATGTTGGACCGACAAACAATGGCAATCATTCAGAGAAGACCTCAGGTTGCCCCCTTTTCACGATAAGGAAGCTGAACAAGATATCTGTTCTTGAAGCATGATCGCACTTTATAAAAGCAGGAAAGTATTTTGACTCAAGTCTTGGACATAAAATGGCAGCACTTGGAAAACAGCAATATCATTACGAAATCTTTTTTTTCTTAATGCAACCTTTCTGTTACAAGCAAACGGGATGGTGTCTTTTTACCACAGAAGGCAATATGAAAATGCTAGGTTTTATCATTTAAAGGGACACTCCAGGCACCCAGACCACGTCTGCCCATTGGAGTGGTCTGGGTGCCAACTCCCATCACCCTTAACCCTGTAATTACCTTGCAGGGTTAAGTCTTCCTATAGTGGCTATCAGACAGCCACTAGAGGGACTTCCATGTTATTAGAACACGAAAAGTGTTTAAAATGACGCTGGACGTCCTCACGCTATGTGAGGACCTCCAGCATCGCCGAAATCCCCATAGGAAAGAATTGAATAATGCTTTCCTATGGACATGTCTAAAGCGCGTGTGCGGCCATTGCCGCGCATGCACCTTAGGTCTCGAAAGCCTGACCCGGCGCCGAAGGACATCGGCGCTGGACTCCGGTAAGTCACTGAAGGGGTTTTAACCCCTTTGGCAACATGGGATGGTGGGGGGAAGGGAGAGGGGCACTGCGGGACCCTGGAATGAATATGTTTACTTGGCACTGGAGAGTCCCTTTAACATAGGCTTGTGAACTTGTCTGTTTTGTGGTTTGGAGGGTGGTGTGCTGTTGTGTGGATTTATTTATTTTTTTGTTTGTTTTGTTTTTTACATTTTATTTACATGTACAAGTAATATAAGTAAACAATATAGCAGTTTCTTATCCAAAGGTGGCATGACTGCTTGCGCATGGTATAAACCAAACAACTGAATAGACAATATAATCTAATATGATTATAGAGCAAAATAAAAAAAAAAAGTAACACTGGAAATATTTGGTTGGCATTCCATGTCTCCTTAAGTAAGTCAAAGAGAAAACCACTCTGTCTACGATATTTTTATTTTATGTTAAAATTTTGTACTAGGGTCACTTTATTTTGCATCATTTTGTAATAATCAAGGTTAGGTTTTCGCATACAAACTCTTTTTTTTTTTTTTTGTTCTTTTTATTATGCAGAAAATACTTTTTTTTATTTTTTATTCCTTGTCCAAGATAGAAAATGGAAATGAAAATGAAATGTACCGTGCAGTTTTTAAATACTAATATCCATCTATTCACAGGGATCATTTTTGGTGGATGATGAAGAGGTCATAAATAAGACAGAACTGCAGCTTAGCACTATGGAGAACTCTCAAGACCAGCAAGAAATGGAGGAAGAGGACGAGTCAGACCCTTAACCCCTCACAATCCACCACTGTCTCCCTCTAGGTTACATATGAACACCAACCGAGATATAAAGATTCAATTGATTTTGGGAAAGATCAGAGTCACAGTAATATTTCATAGTTAAAACTATAGATGATCTTTGTCTTGCCAATTTTAGCTGGTTAAAGCCCCGGCATCATCACAAGGTGGAATCTAATGCTCATGTAGATCACTCGTATTAGGCCTTCCCCATAGGAAACCACTACATCAATGTTTTTCTATGGGGATTTAGAAGACCCTGGGTGTTCTCATGCAAAATGTGAGGACAACAAGCGTTGTGTCACAGAGTTAAACGCCATGAAACAGCAGGAAGTCCCTCTAATGGCTGTCTGGTAGACTATAGAGGCAGTCTTAACTCTGTAATGAAAACATTGCAGTTTCTCGAAAACTGCAATGTTTTCATCTGCAAGGTTAAAGGGACACTCCAGTGCCAGGAAAACAATCCTCCCAACCCCGGTTGCTGAAGTGGTCAAAACCCTTTCAGTGACTTACCAGAGCGTGAGGACGTCCAGCGACGCTATAGCACAGAAAACCTGTGCTATGAATCATGAAGTGCCCTCTAGTGGCTATCTAGTAGACAGCCACTAGAGGAGGAATTAACTCTGCAAGGTAATTATTGCAGTTTATTAAAACTGCAATAATTACAGTTGCAGGGTTAAGGGTAGTGGGAGTTGGCACCCAGACCACTCCAATGGGCAGAAGTGGTCTGGGTTCCTGGAGTGTCCCTTTAAGGGAACACTGTACCCTGACCATTTCAATGAGATGAAGTGGCCTGGGTACCTATAGTGTCCCTTTAACAGCAGCAGAAAGGATATATCGTTGATGGTGATAATTTAATCTGCATGCATCCTACATAGACGTTGGTGTTGTTAATCCATTCATGCAATGCTTCATTGAAGGAACACTCCCACCACCATAACAACTACAGTTCATTGTAGTGTTTATTGTTCCAAGAGTGCCCTGGCGCCCCCTTCCTCCATTATAAGGAATCAACCTGTTTTTGAGCAGTTTGACTTTTTACGTGGGATACATCAGCTGTGATTTTTTTTTTTTTTCTGTTACAAATAATCATTTTCCTCTTTTACATTGTGGGATTTACACTCCGCTCTTAAAAGCACATTATTACCTTTTGCAGCAAAGGACCAAGGGCCTTATTCTCTGCTAGTGCCATGCCATGTGTTGCATGGCAAGGGCAGTCAGTGAGACCAAGTGGATCTTGAAATATTAGGGTGTCAACTTCAGAGATAGACCCATGTCCAAGCACTGAATCTGCAGTTTACAAATGTAAATAAATTTTCTTTGTGTAGATTTTAAAGCGTGCCCTGAGCAGTGTGTGGGGAGTCATTCTTTTCTGCAATTATAGGACATGATTGTGCCTACATACCTTTCAAGCACATACACTTCACATTCTTGAATAACAACTATATCTAATAAGTATTATGCAAAGCCGGGCATAAGGTAAAACTGACTTGGGCACATACTCAATATGCAGAGAGTACAGATTGTGATGATTGGTTGTGCTCGGTGTTCTTTACTTAGCAGGGTCGATGACTGGCTGCACACACTCCCAATTGTGGGTCAGCCTCTGCTGTGGAGTCCAAGTCTCCCTCCATTCAGCACCACAAGAACACAAAGGCTGCTCACCCATAGGTGGGCTCTGTGTTCTTTTAACCACTCTTTCCACAATGGTCAATAATATATAGCGACACTGCAAACATTCTTCTTAAAACCACGTGCTGGAGCTGCTCTTTTGGGTTATCAGGAGTAGTCTTGTAAATTGTTTCACTTGAATAGATCATGTGACTTGGCAAGTCTGCCAGCGCATAAGTTGAGAGAGACCCACCTGTTTATGTGCAGGGTTTTTAGTTCATTATTAACCATTTTCTATATATCACAAAGGTATTTTTTTACTGAAAACAGACTTGCACTAGTTGTTTTGGGAACATCCTCCAACTCAGCTGTACAAGCTTAGAATTTTTTGCCTAAATATAATTCACTTTTAAATGTACTTCAATTCTGTGGGAATTTAAAGAGCGAATTCCAAATTTAAGGCCAAAGTAGCTGATCTGGAAGCATAGCTGATTTGGGGAATTTTTCCAATTCAACTATTTTGCTCTCGAATTTTACATTCACTTTGAATTCCTGATAATTCTCACTTTAGAGAAGAAATCTGCCAGTATAGCACACTATGTACACTACTTTTATTCTTGACAAGCTTCAACAGCAGCCTGATACAGATATTTAATGCACGTGGACTTTATTTTTCACATTGTGATGACATTTTTGGTAGCTGCTTGAAATGCAATAAGTTCCCAGACCAATAACTATAAGCAAGATATTTGCAAGTATTTTGGCTCAGATACTTCATATGACATGAAGGTATTTCTGCTTCCTTTTAAAGTGTTTCAGTTCGCACATAGAAATATTTCTGAAAGGTAGTCCTTGGTAGTGGGATATGCAAGTGTCTAAGTTAAAGGGACACTATAGTCACCAAAAATTTTTTGCTTAATGAAGCAGGTTTTGTGTACAGATTGTGCCTCTGAAGTCTCACTGCTCAATATTTTTGCCATTTAGGAGTTAAATCAATTTCTGTTGATGCAGCCCTAGCCACCAAGAACATTGTTTTATTTTCAATCAGATGTTAAATTACTTTAGACATTTTGTCTCCTGCTTTGTAAATTGAACTTTAATCACAAACGGGTGGCTTCTGCAACATCAAGCAAGCTATTAACAGTGCATGAGAAATTTTTTAACTAAACAGACTGTGCAATAAAGTAAGTATAAACATTAGAGAACTCTTTACAGGAAGTGTTTAGGAAGGCTGTGTAAGTCACATACAGGGAGGTGTGGCTAGGGCTGCATGAACAAAGTGATTAATCTCCTAAACGGCAGAGAATTGAGCAGTGAGACTGCAGGGGCATGGTCTATACACCAAAACTGTTTCATTGAGATAAGGTTGTTTTGGTGACTATAGTGTCTCGTTAAGCAAGATTGTGCATTTATACTGTTTAACTACAACTCTTATTTTATATTTTGGTACTGTTTCTGTTGAAAATTCAGTGTCTACCAATCTAACCTGCCTTAAAAGTTTGACAAGAAAAAAAAAGACAGTGCCACTTTACTATGTGAATTATGCAATGTTTGGGAGATATAGAAATTAAAGGGACACTATAGTCACCTGAACAACTTTAGCTTAATTAAGCAGTTTTGGTGTATAGAACATGCCTGTGCAGCCTCACTACTCAATCCTCCATTTAGAAGTTAAATCCCTTTTTTTTTTTTCTTTTCTTTTTTATCAACCCTAGTCACACCTCCCTGCATGTGACTTGCACAGCCTTCCATAAACACTTCCTGTAAAGAGAGCCCTATTTAGGCTTTCTTTATTGCAAGTTCTGTTTAATTAAGATTTTCTTAATTAATAGCTTGCTAGACTATGTTAATAGCTTGCTAGACCCTGCAAGAGCCTCCTGTATGTGATTAAAGTTCAATTTAGAGATTGAGATACAATTATTGAAGGTAAATTACATCTGTTTTTCATGTAGGCTCTGTCTGTCATAGCCAGGGGAGGTGTGGCTAGGGCTGCATAAACAGAAACAAAGTGATTTAACTCCTAAATGACAGTGAATTGAGCAGTGGAATTGCAGGGGAATAATCTATACACTAAAACTGCTTTATTTAGCTAAAGTAATTTAGGTGACTATAGTGTTCCTTTAACTCTTTCTAATTACTGCATCAAATTTAATTTCATTAGTTAAACAAAATGACACAAAAAGAGACTTTCCTGGCTAATCATGGCAGCATCACTTATGGGTTAGCTCCGCCCCAATCAGGTACAGGACAGGAAAAATCAATTAATCTGGACCCGACTGGGGTATAAAAGGTCCCTCCTCCTTCCATCCCACAGTCTTTTTTCCTGTCCTTTCAGGACAAACAGGATAATAAAAGTTTTTTGGGGGGCCACCTTCCCATGTGTACCATGGGCCTCCAGATGAAGTTCAGCCTCTCTTCATCTGAAGAACTCAGTAAACAGCCTGCACAGGCAGGACTAACTGAGTTAGGTACAGTTTATTATCTGTACCATGGTGTTGGAGAAATTATATATATATAAAATATTGATGTGGGGTCAGCTGTACCTTTAAAAAATCCCCCTGCTAAAAACATCAAAACCCCCCTGATCAGAAGGCAGAGTATTATGGAGAAGCCTATCATCAAACAGTAAGTCTTCATTTTGTTTTTCTTATTAGGCTTTAGGATCTCTTGTTTTATCTTACCTGAGCTGCATAATCTTTGTTGTGAGTCACAGACTGCAGAAGTTTCTTCATCAGATCCTGGGCGCTTCTGTGCTTGGTTTACAGAGCAAGCGCAGTTCCAGCGGGCGCTCTACGCATGCGCGCATTAATTTCGCGCTTAAAGGTATATCGTGCCAAAAAATAAAAAGTTTTAAAGTTGAGCAGTTTTGCTGTTAACAACCTCCCTGGTCATCTGGTAACTAGGAAAGCTGCCTCTTACATCCAGATTCTCTTTTAAAGGTAAATATCTTGTTTTATTAATATTTTTCCAAAGTTGTAAAAAAATTTTTTTCCTTTTTCTTAAATACAGTATTAAGTAGTAATTATTCATTATAGATGGCTTCTCCCTCTGCCTCAAGATCTCGCTCTAGAAGACATAGGTGAGCCTCAATAAAATTATTAATTTTTTTAAGGGGGGAAAAGTGCCAAAATAGGCCTATAATATATTATATATTGGCCTCTATTTCAGCCCAGAAAGATCTCAAGATAATTTTCCCAGAAAATATAGAGAAAAGTCTAATAGATGTGCGAACTGTAACCAAGTGGTTCCTCCTGGGAATAATTTGTGCAAAGCTTGCCTGGCGGAAGCAGCTTATGAATGGGAAAAGAAAAGTTCCCCACAGGCTGATTTTAAAAAATGGATATCAGAAGCTATTGCAGAAGGCTTCAAATCGTCAAATAAAATGATTACCTCTAAGCGTCCTAGAGTGGAGAGTTATGTAGAATCGGAAGAAGATTCTGACTTAATGGAAGAATTTTCAGAGTTTGAAGAGGAAGATAGTTGTTCAAGATCCCTGGATTCCAGGGCTGTGGATAAATTGGTTTATCTTATCAGAGAAACCTTAAGAATCCATGAAGAAAGTACAGAAAAGAAGGAATCTGACAGATATTTCGAAGATCTGAAGTCCAACAGGCCCTCCTTTCTGGTCCACACTGCTATTAAGGAGGTCATCCAGGAAGAATGGATTAGACCAGAGAGAAAGGTTACATTAAAAAATAAAACTCCCAGATTATATCCGTATGCTCTAGAAGACTGCAAATCGTGGATTTCTGTTCCAAAAATTGATGCGGTAGTGATCCATATGGCAAAAAGAACGACTCTTCCCATAGACTCCATGGCATACTTAAGAGAGCCTATGGAAAAGCGATTGGACGCTAACCTTATCAAAGCATACCTGGCTCTGGGATCAGCATTACATCCCGCTATTGCCCTAACCACCTTGTCCAGGGCACTCAAAATTTGGATAGATAATTTAGAAGAGGATATTAATAGAGGAGTCCGTAGAAAACACCTGATGGAGGGCCTTAAGGATTTAAAATTAGCCACAGAATTTTGTTCTGAACTTCACTGGATGTTACCAAGATGGTAGCAAAAAGTATGGCATTGTCGGTAGCATCCAGGAGAGCATTATGGCTTCACTCCTGGGGGGCAGATTATGCTTCTAAGGCTTCCCTATGTGCGCTCCCCTTTCAAGGTGACCTGCTTTTTGGTAAAGTCTTAGAAGATGCAATTCATAAAGCAGCGGATGGGAGAAAAGCTTTTCTTCCACAAGGGAAAAGAAGATTTAGTGCATCTTACTGGAAAGATAAAAAATTCAGAGACCGATCCTTTCGAGATAGCAGAACATATAGACCCGGGAAAGAATACAGAAATTCTAACTGCATCACACTTCCCGCAGAGGAATTCCTATCATTAGAATCACAATTCGCGTTCCACTGGTGCCACGGCAGGATGAAATATCTAGGCGTATGGGTGACCACGAACCCAAGAGATATATTGCGACATAATTTTACACCCCTATTGAAGACTGTTCTCGCAGACTTATCCAAATGGTCGTACCCACATGTGACCTGGCACAGAAGAATCGCTGTGATTAAGATGAATATCCTCCCGCGGATTCTGTATCTCATGCAGACCATACCACTCGCTATACCAGTGACCTTTTTTTCCGCCCTGAAAACGGCAGTAACTAGATTTGTGTGGCGTGTGGAACGAGCAAGGATTCGGCATGACATACTGTGCCGTCCAAAAAATTACGGAGGGCTGGTCCTGCCAGACTTTCAGAAATATCACCAAGCCACGGTCATGCAACGCATATTAGACTGGCACCTGGAACCGACGGCCAAACAATGGGTGAAACTCGACAGGGACCTCATCGGACCAACACTAGAGGCACAGGTCTGGGGTAAAACTGGAGGTCGAACAAACCATAGCGACGATGAGGGGCTGGTCCTACAGACCCTACACACTTGGAAGGTACTCAGGCTGCAGACACATATCACCCACGCCCAGCCCGATGATGCCGACCACGCATAACGAGGCCATAGGGGGTGGACTCCCCTCCGGTGCGTGGCCCATCCCAAGTACCGGAACATATATTCCCATACATAAGGCCCTGGCAGATGGGAAACTGCGAGATTTAACCTCATTACTGGGAGAGGGACCACGAACTCCCCTCTCACTACTTAGATACCTGCAACTGAAACATTTCTATGACACTCTGTTACACAAGGACCTCTTACATAGAGACCTCACATGGTTTGAAACCCTCTGCGAGCAAGGCACGCCTATTGAACACGCTATTTCCGCTCTCTATCAACATCTGATGATCGGCGGCACACCTACAGCCGCCACATTCAAACGTCAATGGGAGGACCAACTTGGAAGACAACTTACAACCCAATAATGGGACAAAGCGATGATATGGCACCATAAGAGTTCCATGTGCTCCTCTTATCAGGAAATGAATTACAAATTGCTCTCCCTATGGTACAGGACACTGTCCCTTTTGCACTGTATCTTCCCATCAATCTCCCCAGTGTGCTGGAGATGCCAGGCAGAACACGGCACAGTGCTACACATATAGTGGGAGTGCAGGGACATCATCCCGTATTGGGAAATGATCAGGGACACAGTGACACATATCATGGGAGACATACCGGAGTGGAACGCAGAATTGGCCCTACTACACATCTCGACACAGCCCATACCGTCGTATAAGAAATCTATACTACGACACTTGCTTAATGCGGCTAAAGCCAACATACCAGCTCTCTGGAAAACGAGTGAAACACCCACCAAAAAGGAATGGATTCGCAGAGTAGAAGATATTCAGGGAGCGGAGGAAACACATGCATCTCTGTCGGGACGAGGAACTACACACGCCGAGATGTGGATGCCGTGGTTCTTATACATCACCCGCTACCGGCGAGATGGGGACGCACCTGTCGCCGGGATGGGGATGGCAGGGGACATGGCTACCACTTAACTTAGATCATAACCCCTACCCCTTTACTGCTCATTTTCTCCTGCCTTTACTTTCTCCCTTAACCCCTCTTGCTGGGCCCCCGGGATCTGGGGAGCTGGATACCGGACTCAGTTGGGCTAATCCCAGGATGAACACTCGATATAAAATGAACAGGGGAGGACATGCACAATACACTACGGACAGAGAATGGGAGTTGTCAAAAGACAGGAATGCCCGCCAGCTGCCACGGACCTCGGACACCCCGGGACCCGGCAGCCGGGTACCTCGAACTTACGAAAACACACAAACTGTAGACAAAGTACCTCCTAACAAACTCACACACCGCGCAAGACAACCACCTTAGATTGCTCGCAACGATCTCACACATAGTACCTGATAATAAAGGACAGCACGCTTTGGGGGCGGCGAACTGAGACCAAGGCAACGCTCGAGCTCCGTTATAAGTAACTCCGATAATGAGCCAGCTCAAATAGTCATAAAGAGGAGCAAACTGCTGATTCCCTCGAGATAGAGTCACTGATAGAGGCCATCGACCTTCAGTCGATAAGCATGGTAAGGGATAAGCTCGTACTCCGCAGAGGTGACCCCACACTGGAAAGCGGGAGTCTCAACTACTCACGCCTTCACGCAACACCACCGCTGTTTTAGAAATGAAACCCACCTAATTATACATAGACCTAGTACTATTTTCTCTAACACGTAGGGATGCAGGAACCTCTGACTCAAGGAATATGTTTGCAGCGCCACGACACCTCCCAACTACCCATAGGCGAACTCCCATAGATTATGGGATGTAGTGTTACTGGGGTGGACTCAAAGTCATGCAGGGACACCCTTTTATGGCCACTAGCATGGAGGGAAACTACATATCTATACATGATCATGGTAACGGAACCGGACCAGCGAGTTCTACCCCCTAAATAGGCTTACGAGATGACAACCCTAAACTTTACACTTTCATGGTTTATATTTGTTTTCAACTGTAATAATTGCTTCCTATCCTGTTGCTCCATACCTACTGTGTTAACCGTAAGGATCTGCGTATCCATAACCATGCTTCATTATATCACAAATAAATAAAAACATATTTAAAAAAAAGAAAAAAAAGAAATTCTAACTGGAGAAGCTATCAGACCTCTACATATAAACCTGTTAGAGGAAGAGGATCTCGACCACCCACCAAAAACTTCTGAACGTTTGCTGGCCCAGCCAGATGTTATAGGAGGCAGACTTCTCTTCTTTTATCCGGTTTGGGACAAGAATATTCAAGATTCTTGGGTTCTGTCTATTCTACTGGAAGGATACAAGATAGAATTCAAGGAATTCCCTTATCAAAATTCTTTCATTCGTTCAAGAGTTTCAAAAGGAAGAAAAGAAATCGCTCTGAACAACATAATTTCCCAGCTGCTGCAGAACCAGGTTATAGAAAAAGTTCCTTACAGAGAGCATTTCAGCGGCCATTATTCCACTATATTTCTGGCCCCAAAACCCAAGGGAAAATGGCGTCTAATTCTGGATCTAAAAGGTCTGAATACAAAATTGATGACAAGAACATTCAAGATGGAGTCTATTACCACTATCCTGCCCAATATAAAGCCGGGGAACTGGATGACATCTATCGATCTCAAAGATGCCTATTATCAAATACCTATTCACGACAGTCATCGCAGGTTCCTGAGGTTCTGGATTTCGGGGAATCACTACCAGTTCAAGGGACTTCCCTTCGGATTGAGTTTGGCCCCCAGAACATTCTCAAAGATCCTTATTTCCCTGGTGGCCTTTATAAGGACAAAGAACATCGAGCTTTATCATTATCTGGATGGTTTTTAATCATAGGCCCATCCAGACAAATTGTGAATCTCCACACAAGAATTACCATCACATACCTTCAAGAGCATGGTTGGTTGATAAATCCCAAAAAGACTTCTTTGGTTCCTTCACAGAGGATGATATTCCTGGGAGCAAATATAGATTCGGAGAAAGGCCTGATATCTCTATCTACAGAAAGAAAGGAGCGAATCGTGAAGAAAATCAGAGGACTGCGTCAGAAATCCTACATCTCAGCAAGAGAATTTATGAGCCTAGTGGGGTCTCTTACTTCCACGATAGGCCTAGTGAAATGGGCCCAATAGAAGATACGACTAGAAGGGGTTTTAACCCCTTCAGCCCAGCAGGAGGGGGGCCATAATTGTGGGGGGACCTAAGGACTACATAGTGCCAGGGAAACGAGTTTGTTTTCCTGACACTATAGTGGTCCTTTAAATTGTTTAACACATAGAGACTGTTGAATGAGTTTCACAGATGTAAGTTGTCAACTCCTGTAGTAAAGATAATGCAATATATTCGGTGCAATGGTTTCCACTTCATTAAACAACTTCAGAATCAGGAAAGGCTTTACAGCATGATCATGGGTGTGTACTATCCTCCGCAAGCCTGCTGTTGTATGAACAGTACCACGTTTGTCTTCCATAAATAACTCTTTATCTATACTTCCCATTGTTTTCTGCATGAGCTTGGGGTTGTTTTTTTTCTTAAGAATCCTTATTCGCAGAATCTGGTTTATATGGGGAACTAGGGTCTCATCAAATATTTGACAGCTCTGTCACTTTGCAATTTTTGTTTTTAACTTTTTTTTTGTCCCTTTCTTTCTCTTTTTTTTAATTCACCTTTGATTATCAGTTATACAGAAAAAGACATAGGGACCAATGCTGATCACAGTTTAATACACACTTACTGGAGAGAATCTCCATTTGTGTGGGATTAGATCCTTAGGGTGATAAGAGATCTGCTATTTTAAGGAACTCATTCTTGCAGCCATTGACAACCACCCAACACTATGTTGATACAAGGTTTTTATTGGACACTCTGGCTCTCCGAGCGGTCTGTAGCCTCAGGGGAGCAGGCAAAGTGGGATATTGATTCCCCTTTATGTTTTACATTTGGCCAACTCCTAGAGGTTGGACTCTAACTTGAACTGGTCTCCCGTGCCCTCTTCTTCTGTCTTCTATTCTTATGTTTCTACACTCAGCTTCCCTCTGCCTTCTGTTCTCCTCCTCTTTCCCTTTTGTCATGTGGCTTCATTCTCTCTTCTTCTCATTTAGGTTTGCAGTGGCTGGCTATGGCCACTCACATTAACTGACGTCCTCCTGGCACTGATAGTGTTCTGCAGCCTGAATGGAAATTTATTCTATACGATGGTCCTTGTTGCTGGATCATAGTTTCTGTTATGTTTGTTTCATGCCAGCCTAACCTCGTTTACCATTAATTACTATTCAGGCAACTTAAATGCCTTGTGATTTTGTGAAATATCTTTTTGTTAATTGGTAGCAAAACTGCACAGTTCTTTACGCCTGTATATCTGTACCTCAGTGGACTTAATAAAGGCTTAACGTCATTAACTCAATGAAGGCTGAATGATAAAATAAAGACACAGGGACTACCTTTTCTTTTAGGGAATATAATCTTTGGCAAAAACATCTTAAAGGAACACTATAGTGTCAGGAATACAAATGTATTCCTAATACTATTATAGCTGTTTAGGCCACTGGCCCTTCCTCACCTCCACTTAAAAAGGTGGGTGGATCTGGTCACCACTGGCTCCATCCACACTCCGGCCCCTTGGCAGAGATCAAACTTGATATCAGCCAATCTAATGCTTTTTTCAAGCAAAGCATTGTAAAGTTATTGTGCATTCACAGTAAAACGTCATGCTGTCGGCATCTCCTAATAATGAATCTCTATGGGGAAAGTTTTGTGCCTCCAAGCAGAGTGTGGAGATGCTGAACGTCAGTGCTGCACACCCAGAAGCACCTCTAGTGGCAGTAATGTAAACACTACATTTTCTATGAAACGGCAGTGTTTACATTAAAATGCCTGCAGGAACAGGAAATATACACAAGAACAACCACATTATGGTGTAGTTGTTCTGGTGACTATAGTGTCCCTTTAAGCAAAGTTCCATGTCTAGACTGTAAGCACTTTTGAATGGGGCCCTCAGCAACCTATTGTTCCTGTAACTTTTGTAATTCTCATTTATTGTTAAATTTCCTCCTTTATGGTATTTTAATGTGCTGCAGAATACGTTGGTGCTAAATAAATGCCAATATTAATAATAATAATAATAGCAGTTGCTAATCTAATTTACCCATAATCCATTAGTTTAAAAAAAACTGCAGACTTCATGGAGAGAGGAGAACAAAATGGAAATGCCTGGGTCTTAAGATCCAGGGAAGAAAAGAAAACTAACTAAAGGCAAGTGACAAAGAGCTAAGTATAATAATTAAGATACAAGAGACATAAGGAAAGGAAAACGGAAAGACAAATAAATAGGACAGGGCCGCTTTAGTATCCTACATGTGGGGGTGCAGGACCTGACTGCCATGTCAGAGAGATGTGTTTGAGGATAGCTTATTATGTCAGCCCTATTTTAGCACTCCAACTGCTAACCTAACTTGCAGTGCCGATCTCTTGCTTCAGTTTTTACTTCCACTAGTTGATACATGGCAGGTAATACAAGATGGACCTGCGGGGGTTATCCTGGTCTCCAGAAGTGCAGTTCACTTACGCTCATTACTGGGCCTTAAACAAGCTGAACACTCAACATACCACAAGCAACTTAAGATGGCATCAGTACAGACCTTAAATGGAGGTGATCCGGCAGAGGTGGTAGAAAGCTTTCAATGCCATTTGTGATCATTTCTGGCACAAACTGGAGAGGAGGGTACATTATCCCCCCCCCCCTTTATTTTCAGTTCAGCTGGCTTCTATGCTGCTTTGGTCCGTCGTTCGCCTCCTGGGTTGGGAACTGAAAGGAGGTTTATCCTTGCACAAGGTCAATATTCGAGGGGTTATTTGTAAAATGGGACAGACATGGGACAATGCTCTATGCAAACAGTGTGAAGGTGTAATCAGATAGTCTGTGATGGTTCCAATCCAGACCTGGGAGTGTGAGGTCTGGGGGCACAGATGTGCCTAAAATGCTGGACAGAGTCAAGTCTGCCCATATATCTTCCCCTGCCTGGGCACACAGTGACAAACAGATACCTCCTACTAGATGCTAAGAGGCTATGCTAAAACAGCATTTTTGATTTTACTGTTGAATTATCTTTTATGTCCATCTTTATTCCTTTCTTTTCTATGTTCTAATCCAGTACATGCATTATATATAAGTTGTGCATACCTGGTGGAATCCTATCATTGCCAAAAGTAGTATACGTGTATGAATCTCTCATGACATATGCAATGTTGGTATAGTTTAATTGCGATCGACTACGGAGTGTTTTTTTCTTGTGTTTTGTAGTCTACCCTGTGACATAGCATTTATAGACTGTAAAAAGTCTATGCATATACGCTGCTACTTATGACCACAACACTAAACAAAAACACATTTTGTTCCTCTGGTTTTGTTGGAGGCTGTGGACATGGGATGGATATAAAAATAAATAATATGGAATTAAAACAAAAAAGGCATTCTTCTATCAGTAGCACTTATCGCATAGTGATTTCCTGTTGTATGGTCCCTTTCAAAGTAAGAGGATTGACACAGTAGTTAAAAGAAACAATCCAAGCACAATAACCACTTCAACATGCAGTCCCCTCTCAATGTAAGTAGTCAAATCGTTTGACTTTTTACCCGTGGTCCACTCCCCCCACCACACTAAAAAAAAATTTGAAAGATTGGAGCTTGTGAAAATGTGTAGCATATAAATAAAGGCAAAACCTATTAAATGCACTAGTAAATTAAGTTCATGCCCAGAGTATCCTTTTAAGTCTTTGGAGCAAGTCATAAAGCAAACCCAAAACATTGCATTACAATTATAATTTGTTTTCAGCTTTGAAATTGTACTGTTGAATTTGCACAAATCACACCATTTTCTTCATAGTATATTTATTAGAATCAAAGATAATACATCTGAAGATTGAAAAGGTACAAGGATTGAAGGAGTGAAGGCAAAGGCATCTCACAGGAGAGAAACCTGTGCTGCGCTGAGCCCTCCGCCTATTCGGGATTACGACAAAGAGGAAGGATGCACAACATTCTGACAAAAGAGTTCAATGCAGTTTGAGGGTAATGAGCCCAGCACAGCAAAAAGACTCAGAGCTCACACAGCACATCACATTCAAGTCTAAAATAAATATGAGAGAATATACAAGCTCAGAGGCACAGGCAGCTGGGTGTTTATCTCCTTCTCTGCCAGAGCAATGTGCGGGAATGCTGTGCTGGCCTGACTAATGCTTAACACCTTTCTCAAAACATGAAAATCCCATGATTGTTATTTAAAAAGTTTAATGCATACACCTAGAACAGTTTATTCTCCAATGTCACAATATCAATGTACTCAAAATATTTTACATATTACTTCTTTGTTTCATGAACTCACATAAAGAGACATGTAGTGGTCTTTTCTTCAAAGTAAATAAAATGCAATAACCAGCAAAGTGCTCACTACTCTGGCAGAGAGAAGTTAATAGTTTTAAAATCAATTCTTCCAAAAGGCAATTTCCTAAAGCTGACGGGTCCTGGGTTATGGCTTTGGATGCTGCCTGTAACGAACAGGCATGGCTCAGATCTCCAGACAGCATAGGATTCAAATTGCCACAAGGGAATTGTTCACGGCAATCAAGGCAGTCTTATGTATGACCAGTAAGAACTTAGTAGTTCCACTAGGGTTATGAAAAAAAGGACATAAAATTACTCTTCATGATTGTTACAAAATAAACATTTTTTTTTCTCAACAGTAAAGTTTTGCTTAACTGGCTCTCCATTGTGAATCTACACATAGAAAATAGATTCACTTACATTACACAGCCTTAGTTCAGCTTGGTCCAACTTGGGACTGACCCATTTAATCCTTGGTTGGTAAGAGAAAATGGATACTTCAATCACTTACCACACACAAACTGGGCATACTCTTGTATTGTGTACTGAAAGCATTACAAGTACCACAAAGCATCATGGGATAAAAGCAGGGATCTTACTGCAGGTGGAGCCCGTGGGACCCTGGAGTATGTCTACTGTTGGCCCAAAGTCCTGCAGGCTCCTCCTTTAATGTAGGAGTCGGAGAGAATGAAAAGAAACAGTTTTTTTGGCACTTTCTGCAGAGATCTCACTCGGCAGGATGTAGAGGCTCTCTGTCTTGCCTGACATTTCTCCTTCTCCCGCTCACACTCCAGCAGCATGGGTTGGGGTGCTGGGCTGCTTAAGACCCATAGTTGAACAGAGCCATCCTGCAAAGTCCACCTCTTCCAGTTCTGCAGTTTTAATGAAGCTATGAACCTGTTAGAGGAAACCAAAATAAAAGGTGAAAAACAAACAGAAATGATGATAAAAATGTAAAAAAATCAATGGCAAACTATTGGTATGAGTAAGAAACTAGGAAAGAAAAAACAAAAGCACTTTATGGAACACTCCAAACACATAACACACTTTAGCTGGAGTCTGTTAATTTATTTATGTGTATAAAAGTGCCAGTTTCCACAGAAATCAGTAGTTTCATAAATACTCATCACTACACGTCACCCCGCTGACAATCAGACAGCCAAGTAAGGATTTAAACTACTTGTGTAGGCTCCACAGCAAGATGGACTAGAGTGCACCTACCAATACTTCTCATTGAACTGTATTATAGCTGGGTGAGAAGTCTATTACTAGGAATTTCGCACACAAGCTTAATGAGAAGCATTGGATTGGTCAATTTGCCAACAGACCGAATGTCTGTGCAGGGGACAATGGGGATGCTTTGCATATGATACAAAAATCAATTCTGCAGCTTTTGCAATATATATATGGGGATATATGGAAAAAATATATATATTTATATATATATATTTTTTCCATATATCCCCAAAGAAAACATGCAGAAACAAAAAAAGACATGCATGTTTTCTTTGGGAGTATATAAACTAAACCGTGGAAAAATCATAAATGGCATGCTCCTTTAAGTCAACCACAAGGTCAAAACCACATTCAAGTGATAAATGGATGTAGGATTAATCTTTTCATGCAATGCCTGGCTAAATATCTTCACATGGGCATATGAGATATTAAAATGAAGATGTCCTTGTTTAAGATAAGGCAATATTTCAGTGTTTACACTGTTGCCTAACAGCCACTAGAGGGAGTTCCTGGTTTTGTTACAGCAAAGATTGCAGGAGCAACGCTCAGCATCTCCACGCTCTAAATGGAGATTCAGAACACTTCCCATACAGATACATTATTTTCCAAGAAAAATTGGACAAATGTATAAAGAAAAATATAAATAAATACATTGGGGTGGTGATGCAAAATGACATTTTATTTCCGACAAATCTTTCTGTTACTGTCAGAGTGGCTGGTTGTGGATACAGTTAAGCAACTTTCATGATCTTGATTTATAATAATTCAGGTATAAAATCCTTCACATTGCAAATATGCCTTTTTGTGGATTATTTTGATTCACACTACAGAAAATCCAAAAAAAAGGCACAAAAGTATAAAGGGTAGGGTAAGTTTTATAAAAAAATAAATAAAATTGAAATAGATTACGTGCTCAAAACTGACACATGCGAAAGTGACAGTGACAATTTATATTTTATACATTATCCATATAGTACTATGGCTGGAATACAAAATTTTTTCCTCTTTGTTTGCTGCTCTCTTAAAGAAAAGTACTTATGCTACACAAAGAGGGAGATTTATCAGAGTGTTCTGTTCTAATAGGTGTTCTAAAGTACAATCCATGCATCAATCACCATGGAAACCAATGGAACCAGAAGGCACATTTCTTTAGGGACTCACAATTTTTTTAAAGGGGACACTATAGTCACCAGAACCACTACAACTTAATATAGTTGTTTTGGTGTCAGGAGCCTGTCTCACAATCTATACTGATTGTAAGGGCTTGCAGTGGCCATCTTGAGTTCTTTGGCAGTGTTCTTGATTTCCTTCAAAATGTTTATATCTTAGAATTCTTCATTTCTTTAGAGGTCATTACCACTGGTGATCTCATTAAGATTCATTAGTATTTGCCATTTATTTTGATTCTCACTGCTGGCAGCAGCCAACTTGTATGCTTTTTGGCAGGCACTCTAATTTCTGTTTCAGAGTACAAAACTTTAATTTCTAATTTGAAAGCATTTTCCATTCACAACTGGCACACAGCTGAAAAACTTATTTTTTTTCAGTGTCGATGGACTTTTACTGCAAGGTAATTTCATTTTTTTCTAACATTAAACAAAATTTCATTTAACACTTTACCAACGCTAGAATGGGTCAGTAGGTCCGAACTATAATGGTCTTTAATGACTTCAGGGCTAAATCCCAGAGGGCTGCCCTCTGTCATTTGGGGCCATTTTCTAGTGCCCCCAGACTAACCGATAAGCTCTATGCAGCACTGGAGTCAATGCACTCAGCCACTGTGTTTTTTGGCTGCAGGCTTGATAAGGAAGACCCCAAGGGACTTAACAGACCCTGGTAGGATTTACCTGTTTGCCCCCACACTGATTGGGTTTGGGTTAAGGTAATGTAGGGTTAATGTTAGGGTATGTATGTATGTATGTTTTATAAGGTATAATACTTCACACGTTTTCTGTTACTGTGAAAGAAAAACTGAGCATAACATCTGCCTCTTCTAAAATAAAATGTGTCCATTTTATCAGTATCCTAGGACATTTTTGACTTATACATGTTCCATGACATTGGACCTTACCATGAGCTGTTTCAAATCTGCCCGTTCAGCTGGATTCTTCACCAGGCTAGAAGGCAAGAGAAGAACATTTATTAATAGGAGCAAGCTTAACATTACTATATACTGATAGCAGAAATGGATGCCTTGGAATTTAAATGTATCTTCATCATCTTGGTGCCATCAATAGGGCCTAAAAAGTGCAAACACACACCACCACCACCACCTCCCACCCCCACCCCATGGGTGCCTGTAGTGTCCCCCTTTATGTATGTTGATTGTCAACTTTTCCTGCGTTTAATCAACGCCCCTATTAAATGTATGCTGTTTGGTGGGTTGTTTGATGCTATTAAAACTCACCACTTGTTCACAAAGTCCTGGAATTCAGTTCCAAACACTCCACTTGGCAACTTGGGAGGAGGCTGTGTATGGAAAGAAAAGGAGTGAAATGGTGTACAACGTAGACACAAACTGGGTTTAAGAAGGAATTCTGTGAGTTCACTTTTACAAAGGGGGCATGAAGCCTGCAAGTTTGTTTAAAATACAGCAGCAAAAAAGAAATGTGAGTAAGATCTGTGCATGGCCCTGATAGTCAGCCAACGAGTGTCATACCAGCAAGAAGCCTGGACACTGCCAATACATGATCCATGGATTAGGAGCTCCAAGTCATCCACAATAAAGCAGTTTATTGCAAAACTAATAGGCACGGACAGGGCATTTGAAGGAGGATATTGGCAGCAATAGGAAAAAAAACAGCATTTGATATAATGGAGAATATTGTAATGAGAGACTTCTAGCTATGTTTAAAAAGATATATATGTGTGTGTAACGTTATGTGATGCTTATTTATTAGGACACTAACTAAGGGTAGACAAAATGTTTGTGAAATGGGGTTTAGGAACGTGGAAAACAAAAAAGAGTAAGCAGCATATGTAAAAATCGTGGTGCTTGGCAGGGGCAGGCATTTTCAGGTATAAAAAAAAGCATACAAGAATTATGTTTGGACACCAGGTGGGAATACAGTTTCAGAT